TTCTGTTGTCTTCCCTTGCCTCCTGTAAAAGGGTAGCAGCTGAATCACTGCACAGTGGATGAAATGATACTTCGGTGCTAGCAGCAAGCAAGCAAATAGCGGCGCCAGGGATTTAACTCAAGCTGTGATTTTAAATCAGTACATTCTAAAAGAAAGCCTGATAAACCAAACACACCTGGGAATGTTAAAAAAAAAAAAAAAAAAAAAAGGAACAAAAATGCAACTACCCCATTAGTAAAACATTAACAAGGTGAAGAATGTTTTCTAGGAGTAGCTAGGCTGTGATTTCCAAGGTTCCCTCTGTGCCACAGGTCTTCTCTGTAACTGGGCAAGTTGTGCACAGCCTGCCTCTATCTCAGGAGAGATTGATACATACAAGACTCCCGAACTATTCAGATATCACAGTAAAAGTGGCTGCAAAAAGGGCTGCGTTATCACAGGTCTGGACTCAAGTCAGGAAAACCTCTTCAGTCAGGAAAGCACTTCAGGTCACCAGGAGATATGTCCACTCGTGGTGACGCTTCCCCTGGGCTCTGCTCTTTGTCTCTCCAGAGGGCAGAGGCAGAAGGTTGTGTGAGAGCTATTCAGTAGCAGTTTATCTGCTTTTAAATTATTGGAAGGGGAAAAAAGCAATGTATAGGCTCTGGATTTTTAAAAAATAAGGTCTCATGTATAGGTTTTTTCTGTGCCAAGACAGCACTTCAGTCTGCTCTGCATAGTCGAGTGCTGCAGGGCATACAAGGGAGGAGAATTACACACAACTTGCTAACAGAGCCATTTCACATCGCTAGATCTGGCTCCTTGCTGATTTCCTGATAACCACTCAGCTCGAGCTATACGGGACGTCTGAGAAAAATAACCTCAAGGAATGATCTAGTCTTCCTAAGAAGATCTGTCTGCATCAGCCAGCCATCTGAGTGGAGGCAGCCAGGGATATCAGCTTCCCTTTCAGGTGTGTCGGTCTGTCGCCGGGGGCATCTGATGAATTAGGAGAGTGAGGAGCCGCAGTTAGTGCTGGTAGTGCTTCAGTCCCACCGCCCTGCAGGGGCCAAACTGCTGGTCAGCGTGGTGCTGGGGCAGGAAAAGCACTTCTCTTAGTGTGTTTTATTTACATATCTCACCAAAAGGCAGGCGTGTACAGAACACAGGGAATGTGGCTCCGACCTCAGCCGATAGCTTAAGTGTTAATGCATAACGAGTAATTACAACCCATACCCAGAAGAAAGTAACAGGAAAAAAAATAGTTTTGAAAGGCTGGTTGTATTTTTTTCCTAAATTTTCAAAATGGGAAAGCTGTTACTGCAGTCATGAGAAGAAAAAAGTCATCCTCAGTGACTCTTGCTTTGGATGAAGGATGGGAACTTCCCCCCCCCTTCATCCCAATCAGCCTCTGTGGCAGGACGAGGAAGCTCACGCTGTACTCGTGCTGGGAACAAAAGGAACAGTTCTTGTCTCTAGTGCTGACGACCTAATACCATTCACAAGTACTGCCAATTTCAATCAGGAAGGTGAAAAAGGTACAAGCAGCATGGGCAGTTCGACTGAATTGATACGCCTATCGAAAAGGGCCCCTGGCACCCCGAGCTTGCACGCAGCCGGCCGGGACAGCAGATCACTGGGGACAGTCTGGCAGAGCAGGCATCCTTCATTCAGTTTAGCAAGCAAGATTTTTGTCTTCCACCTAGGCGTTACAGCAACAAGCATCCCTCGGTATTATTTTTAAATACAAGTGTAATTCGAACACTGCCAAGCCAATTAGATGGTTACCAGAAAGGTCACGAGCATCCTCAAGAATAGTGCAAATTGACCCATTTTCTGGTAACAAAAAGCCTTAGAGGTATGACTTTCTGGCACTTTGCATTCATTCATTTTCATCCCTCAGTGTTTTGCTATCGGCTGAAAATCATCTCAAGTGTTAGTTACACTGTGGTGCTGTTAAGTACCTTGCTCTCAGGCTGGAACAAGAAGGAAAGCTTGATAATGTTCTTCCCATTTACTTGCTAAAAGTTGAATATGTAGAAAAAAAAAAAAAAGAAGAGGATAGGCCAGTACAGTCTTGAATACAGGTGGTGAAAGATTAAAGCCTAATGGTTTCAAAACCCCTTTAAAAATCATTCTGAGAACAAAACGTGCTTGCTTTCCTCACTATGCTGAGATTAAATGAGTACAAAACAGTGCACAGGCTGCCTGTCTCTGTAATAAAAGACACCAGGCTCTGCAATAGATCTGCAGTAATTCTAAAACGAGATTGATATGGTTATTATTAACAACCATTTAGCAAACGTCTCAGCTATCAGGGTGGGATTGTGGGTTTTTTGTTGTTTTTGAGTTACAAAATAAAGGCAGAGAGGAAGAAGCCACTGCTCTTCTCTCCAATCCCATCCAAACAACTTCACATTCCTTCAGCGCTGCCTGTTAACCCTTCGCTGGCTTTAGTGGTGGGTTCAGATCCTACAAGGGCTCACGGAGACCTTGGTGCAGCTCTCGGGATAATTTTCTTTCATTGTCCCTTTGCTTTGTGTAAGGCTGAGATTTTCAAAACTGAAATACACAAAGCTTAGTTTTCAAAAAGAAGTTTTATAACAACTTATTTTTCCCTTAGTTGATGATACAATGCAGTGTTTTTCAGCAGCATATGCTTTTCAGCATTTCACCCCTTGTTCAATCTTTTTTTCCTCTTTTCAAGCTAACCCATGATTTCACTTGAACAAGGCAAGTGATTGGATTATACCCAGTATCCTGGTTTTGATATGCTAATATTTCCTTCACAAGACAAAAAGCCTTTTTGTTGTGATTAATTAGATTTCAGAAACTTATATAAGACATTTTGCTTGAATCTTATCAGTCCTGGGACTAAAGGGAGTTCCTTTTCATGTTGCTCTGAATCAGGGTAAACTTGCTATAAGCTCTCACTTGGTAAAAAGCAGTTCTGTGACTCTATGCAGAGGATCTAAGATGCTCCTCATAAATGGGACACGAATATATATTGAAATAAAATAGCACTTTTGTCTTTGGACAGCTAAGGTGTTTGGCATGTTGTACAGTGGGTACCATGAGGCAATGGATAACACATTATTATTATACAATTCATTTTCTCAATGCCGTAAAATCCATTATTTATAGAAGTATGATAATAAGGAGACGTATTTGCTCCTAATTCCAGCTACTTAAACCAGTTGCAGAATATCGTAATTATTGGTGTGATAAAATCATTAATGCTAGAAGTTCCACACTGCTGCTGGATGCCCAGCACTATGGAAAATCAAGTCCCGTAGGACATATCCAGGCTCCTATAGCATAATACCCCCCACAAAATTAGGTCTAACCAGATTGGCTTGCTTCCTGCAAGGAGTGTAAATGCAATTTTACCATGTTCCCTGTGGGCTTATTTTCTGTGTTTCTCTGTGCTACTCCAACAAGGGCTGATTCTGTATAAATTACAGTCGACTCTTTTTTACATTGCAGTTATCACATCCCTCTAGGCTCATTTGTAGCTCCTGGAGAGAACAGGAACTGAATTCCTGAATGAGGGCACTGTGCCCTATCTTGCCATGCAGCTGGCTGGCTGCAAACCTCCATGGGTAGGTGAAGTGTAGGGAAGCCCCATCCATTCCCATTACCTCCCTCTTCACCCCCAGCTCTTTCCTGAAGCCATAATGCCCTACAGAAGCTGAGCTGGCTGGGACCTCCAACAGAGGTCCGTATTACCCTTGTTTTTTGTTTTGCTTTTAGCTGAATTAACAGCAAGTACCTAAATGAAAAAAATTTTACTGGACAAGCTGCCTGCAAACAAATTTAGAGAGGAAAGATTACCTAAGATTAAAAAATCAGATGAGCTTTTAAAGCAACATTACTGAGTTGCTATGTAACATACTTCATCATATGCCGTGTGTTTCGGGCACATTTTTAGCAGGTTATGATTGTGAACAAAGTATGTCAGCCTCCTAGGCTATCCATCTACAGACACTGATAACCAATGACTGGTATTGAATATCCCACCTCTTGCTACGTTATAGATCAGAAACGTGAAGTGTGTGAAATGCTTCTGATTTTTATATATATATATATATATATATATGCTATCAAACAAGAAGAAAGACTAGCTTAGCTTCAATGCAGACAAGGCATACTGAGATTTACAAAATGCCTGCACTTTGCTCTGTCTTTGACAATTTCATATCTGCTCTGGGTAAATTTTGATCACAATTCCCATATTGACTTTGATTTTGTGACTTGCCATATGGCAGTAACTTAAATTGCCCTGCCACCTGAAGTTATTAAGGAACACCAGCGGTTTTGCTTTTAGTAACCATCAGTAGCTTTTCAAAAGTATTAAGCACTGGACAAGCTTTGCTCTTTCAACATCAACAATAACACTAATTTCAAAAAGACTGGAAAAAATCCAATTCTGGATACTTCTGAAATGCCCTACCCTAAAAATCTTTACTTTAGATCACTTCAAAACATGCAGTTTATAGAATCTACCATGAGAAATTCTGCCAGAGTGGATCTGAAATGCAGCTGTGAATACAAGCAAACAGATGATCCATTTTATATTCTTACTTGAAGCTTTGAAAGCTGACAACTAAAAATAATTTACTTGCAAGGAAAAAAAATCTTCTCCATCCCCTTTTCAATACATGAAATATTCACCTCTGATTTATTTTTCCTTGAGAAAACGGCAGCAGCATTTTGCATGTTGTATTCTGTACAAAACCTTCTCAAGCTGTGCAACTTGTACTCGGATGTCAGGGCAGTAAAAATATATAAACTACAGAAGTCCAGCAGAATAAAAAATCAGAACAAAGGTGTTTAAAACACAGGCTGTAACTACTTCAGAGATGCTGATTACAAGGGACTTTTTTTCTCTGTTCCCAAGATATAGGGAAGATGAAAAATAACCTTCTTAAGGCAGACTTGGTAATAGCACTATTACTTTAAGTAAAAACAAGAGGTGGTGAAATGGCAATAAGTCACTGATACTCAGAATTTACCTGCAGAAGCCATGGAGGAAGAACAGATCGCTTTTATGGAAGAATAAAGATCATGATTCTTAAAGAGAAAACCAAAGGTAAACTGTATGAGTCAAGCTGGAAGCTTATGACACCCTGCTGAACAAGAGCAGAAATGAGTTCAGGTCAGCAGCATGACGGTAAGTGAGAAATGGTATAAATAACCTGACTTTATGTAACCAACACCCTTCAGGCCATGCCAGGACACCTGGTAGCCCAACACAGAGCAGGGCTAGCAGGGTGCTGAGACAACACACAAGCACAACTGAGGACAGGACCTCAAATCATGCCAGACATCAGTCTCAAAGCCACTTAGATGTCATCCAGGTAAATCACAGTGTGATGGAGGAGCTGCTACAGAGATCTGTCAATGAGGTCTTCAAATCTAAGAAAAATGAAACCGTGAGAGCTTTCTTTAAAAATTCAATGGTAGTACCCTTCTTCTCTTTCCACATAAAATAGGGTTAGATGGCAGCTGTTACTCACTACATAATGCTGTACCTGCATGCAGTTCATGAAGTGAGAGCAGCTCGGTAACTCAGAGCATTGTGAAGCAGTGAGAGATGTGTGGGCTATTTGAGAGGGCATTTCTTCCCTGTTTTTCTTTACCCCTTTATTTTATATCCAGAACATACCAATAACACGCAGAGAGAGCACTGGTCTGATAACTGGAGCTGCAAACAATTAGTAGTCATAACTTAAGAAGGAAAACCATCAACCTCTCTCTAAATGCCATAAAAAGAACACTTGAGTTCTCAGTGTTTTGTGATAAATTCTCGGTATGCTTTCTTTTTAGCAATTTCCAAAGAAAGTGAGAAAATAGTTCAAGGAAAGAGTTTATAAAAATATTGGACTACAGATTATGTAGTGCGTAAGCCAGGTGGTGCTGAATTTGTTACAGAATTACAACAACAGCAATCATCAGTTTTCTCTTCCTGCTCACCTCAAAAACATGCATCCTCCCAGGCACAAGAAGAAAAAAAATGATGGTTTTGGTGATTTGAAAAATCTGTTCAACACTGTCAGAAATTTTAAGCATTAATCAGAGTTGTCTGGATAGCTACAAGGCAGAGTAGATATTTTCCCCTATCTTAAAGTTAGATTTTTGTTTAGCCCCTCTAATTTTGTATCTTTAGTGTTTATTAAAATCTGTTACTTCACCGTATTCTCAGTCAATTCAAGGTAGCTTTTTGTTTGCCATTTCTGAGAAACGGTAACAACAAACCTCTGATACTATGGTAAGTCTATTGAGCGTTCCTAAATTGGTTGAAGGAAGGAAGCTCCATGATGAGCAAAAATTACAGCTCCTGCAGAGGAAAATTGGAGCCTGAGAAGAACGAGAGACTTGGTGTAGAGCTTAATAGAACCAATCTGTAGGAGTACCTATAGTTCTGCCTCCTGCTTTGACTCACAGTACATCGACATTCTGCAGAGTCTTATCTCAAGTCAGGTGAGAAGGCATGAAATACTTACCATGAGTCAAAAGAGATGCATCAATAGAACATTAATTTGAAAGAAAAAGCAGAGGTAACTATAAAATATATCACCCTGTTGTTTATTTGTGTGATTAGGAGAGCAGTTTCCTTTAACCACAAGATGTAGGAGATAGAGCATCACTCTCCAGGTCAGACCAAGAGCACAGACTGCACCTTCCTCCATCGGGGAGACTTCTCAGACTCAACGTGATGCAGAGGGAACCAGATCACATCTGCACCACTAAGAAGAAAGCACCTATAGTTAAGGTACCTGAAACAGGGGTGCTCTCCCTACAGCAAGTAGGGATGTAGCAGTATCTTTTTGAATATAGCCAAGTGTGACTTATGCCTTGCCATCAATTACAGGTAGACAAGGACTGCTGTAGAGTCAGCTAAAAGGATTCCATAAAGCCTTTTCTAACCAGTTGATACTCAGCTCCGATATATTCATCATGCAGCACGATGAGCAGCAATGACTTGAATCCAGGACACATTTAATCTCTTATAGTTCTTAAGGTTGCCTTTTAATCATTTTCACTTTACTATTATTGTAGAAACACATGATGGAGTTAAAACATTTCTATTACATATATGAGATCTGTCATTGTACTTCCCCCCCTCTTTCTAGCTTTTCTTGATAGCAGGTGTGCATCTAGATTGAAGACCAGATTTTGTGCAGTGCAGCAGCACAGATGCTGGTTTGTTTCTTTTTAATGTTGTTTCTTTTTAATCTTTTATATCACACAACAAAGGACAGAGGCCATAACCAACTGCAAACTGAAATGGTGACAGCAAAGACTAAAACTGCAGTTTTGAGGAAAACCATGGGTAGCTGGAAAAAAATGTACCGCAGCATAAAAGTAACCCCAGAAAGCTTGTGCCATACTGGACCTGAAATCAGTATCTCGAGTCTGGGTATGGAGGAGATAACACATTTCTGGAAACAAACTCATCCTTCTGTGTACTTTTCTTGGCTTTATTCCCTTCTGGTTACTTTCCTAACAAAGTTTGTTTATGTGTTTTAAGTTTACACTTTGGAAAAAAGCATGAAGCAATTAATCTAATAGGATTCAGTACTAAAATCCTGGGGACATAACTGTTAGCAAACTTTTCAAGTAGTGTGCAGATAAATTGCAGATTTTTTTTTATAGAACTCCTATTTTCTTTCACTTTCTGAACTGCATGAGATAATTTTCTATTTTTAAGGGACAGATCATGATATAACCAAACAAGCTGGGATTCATCCTCCCACATCAGCTGTAATAAGGCTCAATGGCAGAAGCAGTAATAAAACCTAAACCAAATTCCTTTATACAACTTCAAGTTCACCTTCACTTCTCAGGAGGAGGCCTAAAAAACACTGACTCATAGGCCACATACCACCTCTGCTTTCGTGTGCAATTTACCACTGAGAAGGAAATAACAAGCAAATAACAAGTGACCTCACCTGCTACCACATGAGACAAACTAGGGACCTGCATCTCTTGTTGCCTCCAAGCCCTAGAAGTGCTAAAAGCTGGAACTCCCAACATTTTTTCATCCTCTGGTCTTGTGCACGCTGCTCTTCTTAGGACTCTGCTTATTTCCAATTACTCCTGCTCAAGAGTTTAATTTAAAATGTATATTGAGGGTTAAATTAACTTTGTGCCTTAGAGTAAACACATTATCTACAGTAAAATCTGGAGATAAGTCATTGTTCTCAGCTTCTACACTTTAATCTGAAAGAGGATGAATTTTCAGTAATGAAGAGTTCAGTATTCATGCATTGAGTCAAAACCATAGAACTGAAATATCAAAGCATGTGAAGAAATCTCTGATCTTTACATCAAAGTCCACTGAACAGAAGAGACCCTCTTTGCAGCAGTGAATGTCAGTGAAGGTCGTGCAGCTTCCACCTTTACTTAGATAAACAAAAGCATTGATGTGTTGAAGAACCCAATGCCAGTTGCTTCTGAAGCCAAATGCTGAAAGTTTTAAGAAAATGTGTTCTGTACATATCTGATATCTCATGAATACAAAAAGAAACTCAGGTTTTGTAGGAAATGCCTGCTTGCATGGATCCAAACCAGAATGCGTGGGATGCACACTCATTGTTTCTTAGGCACAAGTGCATCCAGCTTAGATCCTCACCCTACAGCTATTTTGCTGTTTTTCACTCAATGAAGTCCCAGGATTAACCAGAATCTAGGTCTTCCAGCTGCAGAATCACAAACTCACCCACTGGTCTAACAAATATCTTCCTAAATTTTAAATAAAGGTTAAATGGCTTTACCAAGAGATACTAATGAGCTAAAATATGTGAAACTAAAGCTCCCCCAGAAAGAACGAAAACCCTTATTAAAATCTCTTTCCAAATCAGGCCTAACAAACTTTTAAACTAGCTTTTGAACTAGCTGCTCACATTCCAAGCAAATCCTCTAAATGCTTAAAAAAATGAAAAACAAAAAACACCAACAAAAAACAACCCTATTACTAAACCAGTACGGATGCTTATTTCCAGAAAAATACTTACCTTCCATATAATAACAGAACCTTCCATTGTCTCCTCTTCTGAGCAAGGTGCTCCACTTTTTCCTCTGTAGTCTTGTTGTTGTCCCCTCTTCTTCCTCCTGTTTAATAAAAGAACCTCCCCAGCCAAGATCATTTTAGACTCCCTTTAAAAGTTATGTACAACTCTTCTGCTGTGTATGAGGCTGCTCTCTAAGCACGTTGCATACTTCATCTTTATTTGCATTTCCTTTGACCACAGAGACTCAAAAGCAGTTGTAACAACTTCCTAAAAGGAACTGAAGTAGGAAATATGCTTTTCAGCTGCCTGCTAAAACACTAAATACAGGCAATACCCTCCCTACTCCTGCCTAACCAGGCTATCTCCAGTCTTGCTGAACAAACTTAACATTCCTGCAGATTTAGTCAACAAAAAGCCAAAGCAGCATTCTTAAATTTGCAAACGATAGCCAGAATAAACAAAAATGCACAATTAAATGCTACAGCTATGTAGTAGCTCTCATCCATCCTTATTCCCTCCCCAGCTTCTCTTACAATCCCTAACATACAAACCATACACACAGTTTATATAATGACAGAATCCGTCTTGATGCCAATCAGCCAGAAACAAGGCCAATTAATACTGATCTGTGATGGTATAAACCAAGCAGTTAGCTGTTGACTATTCTCCAGTAAACCTGTTTTTGCCCCATTAGCCTTTACTTTTCCAATGAAGAGAGAAATTCCAATATTACAACTGTGCTTAAAGGATAACATTTGCACAGATCAGCTCTCTTCAGTGAACTGCACAGCCTCAGGCACACAGCCCCACAGTTGTGGTCAGGACAAATGAGATGATTTAATCATTATTATCAATTTTTAACTCTATTTGTACACTGATCCTAAACCCTTTGGTTGCTTCACTGCTTTATCATGTAAGACACCAACAAGAACCTGCCTAAAATTTATTAGAACAAATTAGTGAAAAAGGACCAAGTCATTAGGATTCAATGGTACTCACCAAGAATAAGACATGCGAATAAAATTGTCACCAAATACACACTATGAAGTCAAAAAGTAATGACTCAAAAAACAAGTATCTGAAAGAGCAAGCACAAAGCCTAACTCAAGCCTTTAAGCCTTCAAATAGGTCCTCCAAGGGCCCTACAGCTACTTTACAAATAGAACCTTTAGAGTGCTCAAGTCCTTAATACAGAAAGGAGAGAAATAAATGACTAGTTTTCAGAAGTGAAAACATTTCAGAGCTGTTTCAGCATTGATGTTGAAAAAAAAAGTCAACACTAACAAACTGCAGAGACTCTAGATCTTGATTCTGTTGAGACCTTGTGGACAGAGCAGCAAATGGAATTTAATGCCAGTGTTTGCATGACTAGTTAGTCTGTGAAGGGAAACTCCAACCCTAAGCACCATAGGGTACTTCTACCTCCTTCAGAAAGATCTGGAAGTGTAGACAACTCACTGAAATCACCAACCCAAGCTATCAAACAAGATTAATAATTAAGGAAAACAGAACACATTTAGTAACTAATCTAGTGTACAAGTACAGAAGAGAATCAAGAGCTAGAAAATCCGTACAGGGCAGAATGGATACAGAGCATGAAACCATTCACAAAGACTGACTTGACTAAGATTTAGTCCTTAAGCATGACTGGAGAAGATAGAGGTCTATAAGATGCCTGACAGCTTGTAGGAAAATGGTCTTTCTCGGGACAGAAATTAAGACAATTGCCAGCTTAATATAGATTAAAAAAGCAAAGAATAACTAGAAATTTTAAGAGTAGCTAGAAATATACTTCCTGCTACAGTTTTAATTTTCATCTATTCAAGGATATTTAAGTTTATATTTAAGAAAGTTTAGCCCTTAATCTGCACTAATTCACTGACCTGCATGTCAATAGAAATGGCTTAAGATATTTCTGTCTTAAATTCTTCCTTGAACATTCTGCAGAAGCAGTGGCTAGTAACAGAATGCATAGAAATTGCTATTTTAAATTTCATGTTGAAGTCATAATTTTTGGCCTATGCAATACAAACTTTCAATTACTCAACAGTATTGATCCTGCTCTTCACAGATCTTCAGCCTAGTTGCTCTTTACAAGGAATGTTGCAGCAGACATTTTCTTTTGTGAATTTTAAATAGGCAGGTAATGGGATTCTTGAAGAGAACACTATTATATCTTTAGCAAGATTGATACAATCTATTGACTAGTTGAACAGGCAAATTACATACAGCCTAATGAAATAATTCAAAAGTTGGCCAATTCATCTGGATTTTGCATTTTCAATTTTAGAAAACCATGATCAGACATTCAGAAGATTAAGTAAGCCTTTTTAAATGAATTTGTAAGGTAAATCTTTAAACAGGAAACAGATGAGAGAACTTCAGAACACAAGCTTCTGGTACCATCTTTGTTTTATTTCAATTAATACACAGACAAATAAGTTACAAAACTTTAAGAAACTTCAGTTTCAACTAATAGCTAGATTGTTTGAACAACCACTGAAGATGTGTAGCTGTAGCCATTGCTTATCTCAGTTCCACTTTCAAGACAACACATCACAGAGGACAACTGGAGTCATCTTGGGTGAAGTCAGCAGTCATCCACTCAGCAAATCATAAACTGATGTTTAGTATCAGTTCTAATCCCTTGCACACACTGGCTCTCTATAAAAGAAATTTAATTTGCAATCACCATTGTACACAGAAAAGGACAGGTGTATATACTGACACATTTTAGGATTCAACTGTACAACAATGCTATGTGAAACTAACCTTTTAAGTCAAAGGCATTTCTCAACACATTTTGTCATTTGTACAGGACAGGATTTTACATGCCCATACAATTAGTACAGATCCCAGCCCATAGGACCAGCTTGATACGAAAAAATGGATCGTTTCCTCAGATGCTTGCCAATTTAGATTGGCCAGACTAAGTCAGTTTTAAAAATTCTGAATTTCCACACATTTTTCTAGTAGTCCAAGCTAGTTTTTTTTTTTTTAAACACTTCCAGGTAGGGAATAATGTAAGCTTCTGTAGGTATGGAATTCTTATAAGGTGTTTTTTTTTTTTACATTACATACCTGAAGAGCAATCAATTTAGAAGCAACTCTTGACTCAAGTTGTTTATCACACAAGCTCACGAAGTGCATTCTAGGTGGTCAAGCAGTACCATCACACTTGAAAACTCTGGAAATATATGATTAACATGGAACAGTTAGATAACAGTATCAGATGACTAACTGTCCTACAAGCTACTTTGAATGCACTAGAGTTGATTCAGTAACTTTCTGAAGTTCAGTGGTTTCACATGTTCCTCTCAACATGATCCAAAGAAGAGTTTCAGCCTCACCTCTGGGTTTGAGAGAGAGTTTTTATACCCCTCTGTGTTGGCCACTTAAGACACTGCCAGACTTAAGAGGGCAAAGCTAAAAAGGGGAGTAAATTGTAATACCATTTTTTTCTTATTAACCAAGATGACCTGAATGCACCATTTACTCAAAATAGATTATAACTTATTTGAAGCTTGTCAACCATCAAAAAGCATGATTTAAAGTGGTCAGTAACTATCTTTACATCAGAGTGCACTTACCTTCTTACCAGAAGGTATTATTCATTCTTAAGTAGTTCTGAGCACTGCCTCCAATTTGGGTGTGGTCATCCCTATCCAGACCATTTCAAACATGAAATTTCTAAGTGTCCCCTAAATAGCACAGAAAGAAATTATTCCTGTATAGTTTATACAACATGCCTAATTAGACCTTCTTAAAGCCATATTCCAGATCTCAAGAGTCACTTAATTGAGGTTTTTAATTAGTATCCAGCACAAAATGTAAATTGCTTAATCCACTGTTTTCTATTCAGATCATTTAAGCTAACAGAACTGTCTTTTTAAATCCACTGCTAAAAAGAAACAGTTTTTAAAACCTAAATTGCTTTTAGCCTTGACACTACCCTGCAGCTGTTGCTACATTTTAGACTGATCATTACCTGCTAATTTGTTGCTATTCTGTACTTACTTGCATATACTTTATAACAAGAGCTCACCCAGGATAACAAAAGCTACTGTTGCACCACAGTAGAAGAGAGGACCAAAAAACCTAAGCAAGTCCAGCTCTCCTTTTTTGAGAAGCCATTTTATTGAGTCAAGCTCATTTATAATACCTACTGAATCAACCAAACACTGTAGGTTATCAGAAAAATATCATTTTCGTGATGAAGGCTGTAAAACTACACTGCACTGAATGTGAGTAACACCCTTAAGAACTCAATTTAGACAGAGGGAACAAATGTATGCTAACACTGATTTTTGTTAAGTCCTGTGTGGACTCAGAGTTGATTTGACTTTGTAGGTCCCTTCCAAGTGGGTCCAATGGTTGCCCCTCCACCAGGGCATCTTCCTTACCTACAGGTATTTGAAGGGGCGACTCCAGACCCCAGCCCTGGGGGCCCATGGCGCTCAGCCTCCCACCCACACGGGGCACACTGCAGCCTTCAGGAGCTCCCCAAAGCCCCACCGACACCTCGGGACACTTTCTGCCGCCATCCTCCCCGCGGCTCGACACTATTAAGGGAAAAAAGAGAGAAAGAGGTGAGCGCGGTGGGGGTGAGGGAGGCGGTGGGGCGGAGGGGGGGCGGCTTGTGCCTCACGACAGGATGCAGGGCGGAGAGGGAGGCTCCGCGCTGGGTTTTTGTGAGGGAAAAGCGCTCTATCCCCCTGTGTTGACTCCCCGGAGCACCGCCAGGCTCCGAGAGGGCATATGTGAAGGGAAATAGATATGAAGTGAAGATATAAGCGAAGGGAAGACGCGAGGCGGCCCCACCCCAGCCCCCCCCCCCAAGATGGCGGCGGGCGGGCACCCACGTTACCACGTCGGCGTCTGGCGGGCAAAGAGGGCAGGTAGCCCTTCCCCGCCCCTTAAATACCACCCGCCGCTCCCGCGAGACCCCTGTGCTGCTGCCTATTGGTCGAGCCGGCACACGTGACTCGCACGCCCCTCAATAAAAGGCGGCGGGGCGGTGGTGGCCGTTGGCTGGCCCCTCGGGGCGGCCGTCGGAGGGGTGGGTGCTGCTGGTTCCTCTCGGATCCCCCTGGGATAAATGGTGCTGGGCTGCTTCCCTCACCGCGCTGCTGCTGTTAGGTAAGCGGCGGGCCCGCGGCCTGGGACGCCAGTGTTTAGCTCAGTCCGAATTAAAGATCTGCAGGTCTCTAGTATGCCTAAACTAAAAGCATCTTTGGTGTGAGGTGGCGGCTGCAGAGCGGTTTTGAGCAGCTCACTGCAGCTGATCCGTGTGTAACCCCACAAACCCTGCCTGAGGAGGCTTAGGATTTGTCTGCAAGGATAGCGAGCTAAGCCTCAAGCCTGCACTAATACCCTCACTGGTGTCACAGCACGTCACTGATGCCCTCCCTGGCACATGCAGGTCCCTAGAGCATGGCCAGAGGTCACCTAGTGCTGAGGTGGCCCTGGCTGCTGCCCTGTGAGGTAGCACACACTGTGTCCTGGCTGGATGCAGGCTGCCCCTGTGCCACCTCAGCCAAGGGGCATGGCTGACTGGCACTGCTAGGAGGCTTTATGGTGAGTACAAGCAGGCTATCATGAGCCGTGTGTCAGTAATTCCTAGCAGAGGTAGGAGATGGAGCCTTGGCATCTTGGTTCCTGCAGAGTTCTGGACTCAGCAGGAGTCCCAGCTTGGCACACAGTGGGTATGCTGCTGGTATTTCTTACCTTCCTGCCTCAGTGAGAAATGGCACCTCCTGGCTTGTGCTGCGTTGCCACCTGAACAGCACCTACCTGTCAGAGCGTGGGAGGAAAACTACAGTTTGGCCACTATCTCTGAGAGTTTTCTAATCCCTACATTTAAATTACAATCAGCAAATCTAAGCTAGTTGGTTTGATTCAGCCTGCAACAGACCACAAGCAGTCACATAGTTGCAACTGAGGGATAGTTCTAGATATTTTCTTGTCACTTCTGGTTACTTTTAAAGCAACTATCCACATGTAGACAGAAAAACACTGTTGCAGATGTTTGTGCCAATACCTATATTGTGAGTACCTCAGGGTTCAAAAGAAGTCTTCATGGCTATAGGTAAGACATTCATTCCCTGGATATGAGCATTTGGAGTCACCTTGCTTCAGGTTATTTCATGCAGAGTTCTCTGCAATGACTTTCTACAGAGACATAAATCAGATCAGTCCTTCATTGTAACGTAGTCAATAGGATGAAGTAGCATCCAGCCTTTACATTTTTGTCATCTGTGCCAGTTATCATGAAAGCTTGACCAGCGAATGCAGAAGTATTTGGGGGGACGGGACAGTTAAGGACATTTGTTACAAGAACAGTACTTAAGATTCAAGTTCCTACATGCTACATTTGTCCCACTCAGGTCACCTCTTGATGAAGTTGGGCCATTGCTTGTTGCAAGTGTGAGGGGTTAGCACATTCTGCGTGTGCCCAGGAAGAACTATCAAGCGCCTGGTCAACCATGTCAGCAGACTTCAGTCTGACTACAAAATGTAGGCAGTCATCAAGAAGAGTGTTTGGAGGCTTGCATTTTGGACTCTGATAAGTGACAGCTGTGGGCCTGTGTTATCTTGTGGATTTAAAGCTGATTTTTTTTAAAGTTTGGTGATCTAAATCCAGCTGCTCAGGTCTTGAAGGTTGCTGCTCTAATCCTCAAAGTCTCTTCATGAGATGCATGAATTTAGTCTCAAGGTTATTGATACTTTGATATTTGATACTTTTCTAAGCTATCAGATTTTCATTTGTTCAAAAACCTCACACTGAGTTCATTAAAACACAAAATTATCACAAATATTTCATTTCAATTTCACTGTTCTTCACACTGATATGAAGGAAAATCTTGGATGTGACCATCAGTCTTTGCTGACGATATCAGTAGCCATCCACATTAAATAGTTGGTAGATTTGGGACCTGACCAAACAGCTTTTTAAAACTTTGTTGTTTTTTTTTTTTTAACAAATGTGTTGGACAATTTACTTTGTGTATGTATTGCACTGTGTCCAGTGCAATAAAACTGTGCCTTAAAAACAAAAATGGGAGCTGTGGGATGCTAACTTAATAGAAGTGTAATTTGATTAATTTATGCCACAATTTACATAAAATGAAAGGGCTATTTTAAATTCATACTCAAAATAGACTAAGTGCCACTTTCAGCCTGTGTACTGTCAAAATATCCTTTGTGGTTTGTTCTCAGTGTGTATGTTAGTTAAAATTAGAACCTGTAGAATAGAACAAAAATAATAAATAAAGTCTTTAGAGAAGAGGAGGGCAAACCAGACTTGTTATTTCCTTTCCAGAGGCAGAAATAATACATTTCTGTTATTTTTCCTCAGTGAGTCTTTTCTTGTTTGGTAAATTACCTCCATGGCTAGAAGATTTGGTCATCTCTTTCTAGGCAATACTTAAGGGCTAAGAATCAAACAGTGTTTTTCCAACTGAAAGCCCATTTTGCATAGCCAAGGAAAATGCCAGTAAAGTTTGCTGGTGAACTTGCTGAAGTACCCTATAAAGAGGCCATTCTACAAGCACCTATACCGTATGGAAACACATGGGAATATTTTAAATTGAGTAGTGTGTCAGGGAAGATGAATACTTGGTAAATCAATAAACAAATAGCCTAATATATAGACATTCTCTTGTTGTTGTTGTTCAAAGCTCCTAATACATTTTTTTTTTTTGAAATGCCATTTAGCAGAAGAAAAAAAAAAAAAAAAAAAACAAGAGGAAGATATTATGAGATAATCACACCTCTAGGCCATTATTGAGCAACAAACTGACTGTAAAGGCCTCAGCTGCCTGCTTGTAAATTAAGTTGTTTAATGGTTATGACTGTAGAACTGTGAACTATTAGCTCCTTTTGTTTACTCAGTAGGCTTCTGGTGTATTTGCATCTCTTTTGCTGTTTTTGGACCTCTGAATCTGATATTTAATGGCAAAAAAAAAAAAAGTCAGATACTGTAAAAGTGTGTTTTCTTCTGTAAAACCTTTTTTGAGAAAAGGGAAGGGAGAGTACTCCCTTTCTGCCAGCTGGTATAATGTTTATATTAGCAAAGGTAGGCTAGATTCATAGATGAATTTAATGTAAACTTCCATCTTCTATGCTTTATATTCAGTAGGTAACAATATGACTTGCTGAGATTCTGTAGATAATGATTACAGTGTTTAAAATTAAAAACAAAAACTCATAATTTGAAGAAATTGGTAGAAGCAGCTGTAAAGCTGATAGTGTCTTGAAGAAGAAAGTTGTTCCTTTATTAGACTAAGGGCCACTCCAGCCCCCCTGCCCCCATACACACATTTTCCTTGCACAGCCATGATTTTTTTTTTTTTTTTTGTGGGACTACAACCTGCTCTTATCATTAGAACTTCAGAAGTAGAGTGGCTTCTGTTGACCTGCTGTGAAGCAGGCACCATAGCCTCAGTCCACAGGCTGCAAGCTGGCATTTGGCACTGTACTGAGGTTCCCAATCTGTTCTGCAACGGGGGCCAAGCTGCATGGAAAATTTCTGTTTGTAACATTAGGAAGGGATTGTCATGAGATTTACTACTGCCTTTTTTTTTTTTCTTTTTCTATAGGAAAGCACAATTGTTTAACTTTTTAAATGGCCCCAACTCATATGAATTCCTATTAGTTTGATAGTCCCAAGAGCTGTTCTTTCCCACTGAAGTTAATGCTGAGCTATACTAAAAGCTGATGGTGTTATCTAGCTCAAATAAGGTCAAAATGATTTTGCCTAATATTTATACAATGTATACTGTCTTGCCTTGCAGAAAAATATGAGAAACACAGACATTTTTTGTATTTTCAAGAATAAAAATTCTATACTATAAGCACAAGTGGCACTGAAGTTTCTTTTTCTCAACTGACATCAACGTAAAAATTATGGTCTCAGTATTCTGAAGGGTTTGTAATGTATCTGTCCTCATTTGTTCACACTCGGACAACTCACTGAATTTTTTTGTTGCCTATTTTCTTTGTAAATTAAGATAATATTAACTTGGCACCTAGTAATTTGACAAGTCTGAGTGAATGTCTGCATAGTCTGAGACCTTCAGATGGAAAGTGTTAGCAAAGTCCAAGCCTCGGCTAGCCAAAGAGGATATTTACAGTAGGTACTGATATTATGTAGTAAAATAAGTTCACAGAATCACAGCTGAAGTGTATAACCAATTGAGGCAAAGACTGATCCAGAAGTAAATGCAGAAGGCATTTTTTGACCTTTCAACAGAAATTATATAAGCGCTCTCAGGTTATAAATAGCCCTTTGTTTTCCCTCTTTGTTTAACACTCCGAAGAAACACAGGGTTAGTTGTTTGTTATGAAGAGAGAGGGCAATGCTGTAGAGTGGAAACAATTGTTCACTGTTCTTTATTTATACAGTTCCTATAGTGTTTGCAGCTAGCATTTGCTGCTTTACTTAGCACTTTATTTTCAAAAAGCTACGGAAATAAACTTTCTAGTCCTGGAAGTGACAACAGCAGCAGAATACCAAAGCGCTCACCCCAATTTCAAGTGAGAAAGTTTCTTCTTTCCTGGCTGGATCTGTGGCTGAAGAGCAAAAAATTGGTGCTAAATGATCATTAAACTGGCACATTTCCTACTTTTATTATGAATCCTCTAATATGGGGTGAAATTATGATGTTCTAGCATGATGAATTGGAAAGTGTAGCCAAGCACAAGTGTGCTGTGCTGTTAGGAGCTGAGGTGCTTACACAAAAGTTAGCAGCTCTCTCTGTGAAGGATTTCCTCAGTACAGGCAGGAACACTGTGCGGGCTTTAAGCTTCTGCTGGAAACAGCGATGTTCTGAAGGAAAAGGGGAATTCTAGGAGGCAGTGTCCTAGGTGAGTGCCATACGTCTCCAAATTTGCTGTGTGGCCACAAGTTAGATAACTAACATGCTCTTACCTCTTGTCATGAGTGTAGGTTTGATGCTATCATACTTCTTAATGCACTCAGACCTTGGAGAACAGCATGGGCTCAAAATTATTGGAGTGGAGAGGATCTGAGACATGAACAGCGCTGTATAAATGCCTTGCAGTGTAACCTTGTGAGCAAGCAGTTCAGCAGTGACACACCTCACGGTATGGCCATGGTATATGTACAACTTCTGTGCCGGTGCCCGCCGGCTGCGGGAAGGCACCAAGTTTTGGAGCCTGCAGGTCCCGGGGCTGTCACTTCCCCGGCCGTGCCCCGACTCTGCCTTCACTCCCCCACGCTGCTGCCTGCCGCTGAGCCTTCCCCTCCCCTCCCAGCAGACGATGGAGCGCCGGGCGAGGAGGAGGAGGAGGAGGAGGAGGAAGGGCGAGCTCGGCGCAGAGGCGCGGCAGAGGCGGGAGGAGCGGGGATGCGGCTGCCGGCGCCGCGCTGCTGAAGCCGCCGGCCCGGGGAGGCAGGCAGGGGGCAGGCAGGGGACAGGCAGGTCCTTCCCCCCCCCGGGGGCACTCGGGGTGCCCGGGCCGGCCCATCCCCTCCCCTTTCTTTCTGCCGGAGCCCAAGCTCTGCTGCCGCTGCCGCCGCCCCCTCTGCCTCCGTGCGCTGCTGGCACCATGAGCGGGGCCGTTTTCACCTCGTAAAGATGGCGCTGCGGGATCGCTGCAACCTTTAGCCCGATGACTGTCAGAAACATCGCCTCCATCTGTAATATGGTGAGTGCGGCGGGCGGGGGGCAGGCCCCGCTGGGGCCGGACCGGGGGGTGTCCCCCCCGCAACCCGAAGGAGGGAGGCGACGGGGGAGGGGGGGGCGGGCAGGACCTGCCCCGGGACATGCCCGGGGTGCGGGGGCCGCCCGAGAGCCGCCGTGTCCCGGGAGGCCCGGGGGTGCCCCCCCGGACACGCTTTGGAGGGGGAGCCGCAGCCTGCCCTCCCCCTTTCGGCCCTAATAACGCTGCTTTGGAGCCCCTTGTTCGGCTCCCAGCCCACCACAACTCACTCAGCCCTTTTGATCCCCTCAGCCAGGCGCCCCGTGGTCTCCTGCGGGCAGGAGGAGGCAGAAAATGAGGATGGTTTGGTGCCCCATAGCAGGCTGTGGGGTCGGGATGCATCAAGGAAGCCTTTCGAGCTGACATCAGGGCTCTTCTGGTGCTGCAGGAAGCACTTAGCTTTCTCCAAATCAGCCTAGGTAATCAGGAGGGAACACGGAAACATCCCTAATCTGGTTTGTTTTGCTCAGACTTCATCACTTTCACCCCCAGGAAGAGCTGACAGGACAACTTCTTCACTGAGCTTCCCTCCGATTTCAGTCCCTGCTTTAAAAACTTGGAGCATCTGATTGGTTTTAGATTTTTTAAAACTTTTTGGCGGGGGGACAGCGTAAAGTTTGTCAGTCAACATCTACCAGCACTGTGAGACTGTCGTAAACTTCCCAAAGACATGGGTGAGCGCTACGCACACCAACACAAGCAGAAGAGAAGCCGATTTCTGCACACCTTGTTGTTTTAGTCTGTATTTTTCCCCCTTATTTCCAGGTTCTTCAAGAGCAGCTCCACACAGTTGCCAGCTTCCCTCCATGTGGTGCCCCAGCACGCCCTGTGCTGGCGATGCCACACGTGGCATTCGCCTGCCCTGGAGAACGGAGCTTACCTCTAGGGTAAGGCGACAGGCACAGCCCCAGAGGGGTCAGCAGCAGTGGTCTGGGGGAGGGAGTGCAGATCATGAGCCCACTCCCTTTCCATATCAATGTCAAATTTTCATTCTTAACAACCTCCAGTCCTGTGGGCCAGCGATACTGCAAAGAAAGGTTTAAGAAATTGCAGTACCGAGGAGACAACCTGAGCTTGCTCACCTTCCTCCCAGGGCAGGCTCCAGTTTTATGGCTGATGAACGGTGGCTGGGACGCCCTGCAGACCATGTGGAAGAGCACCGCATGAAGGGCAGCTGGAGACTGTTAGGTGGTCGTAAGCCTTTAGCATTGGCATAAAGTACCAGGAACTCCGTGATTTCCCTCTCAGGCTTCAGGCATGCCCTTGGATACAGTCAGCTTCTCCCAGAGCCTGAGCAAACAGAGTGAAACTGACGGGGTTGTTCTAGTGGTGTGCTGCTCAGCCCTCACTGCCACCATATCCCACAACAGAGACATCTGAGAAATGGGGAGACCAATGGGAAGAGTTAGAGTCTCAGGCAAAAAATGCACACAAGGGCTCATAGTTCAAGACAATTCTGGCTCGTGGCACTGGTACTGTGACAGAGTGAAGTTGGTTCAACAGCAATGATGCTGTAAAGTTGCATGCTCCTTGGGTTCTGAGCACTTAGCTTTCAGAGATGTTGTGTTATGCTGGTCACATATAGTCTTTTCTGCATAATCCGTAGGGTTATGAAGTCCTTTTAGGAAAAAAAAAAAAGCTGAGATATTCAGCAAGTTACAGGAATTTGGGCCTTGAAGATTAAACTGTTGGAAGTTTTGGCAACACTGCATTATGGCTCCTCTGAAGATGAGCCCACTTAGATGCAGTGGTGGCCTTGAATCCAAAGGACTATAGGAGGAGCTGTGATGACCCTGCATAAGAATGGGATTTTGGAAGGTTAGAGTTTTATAAGCAAACCTTTTGTTTGTATAAAACCATATATTTGCAGTGCTGGTTTGATTTAAGGCATCTGTTGAAGTTTACCAGTCAGAGATGTTAATTTCCAGATCTTGTTCCTGTAGTATGACATGGTGCTTGAAAAACTGATCCGTGGCCTAAGAAATAGGCAGCATGTTAGGACGTATTTATTATTTAACTGACTGCCTGAAGTCAAGAATTTGTTCCGCTGGGGTGGAGGTGGGATGAAGGCTTGCCTGCCTGAAGGAACTGGTGGCACTCATGTGGGCTCGGTGGCCACCCTCACTGAAAATGGAGATCTAGCTCCCGAGATGCTGCCCTTGCCTTGCAGACACTGGGAGCGTTCATCCACTGGGCCTGTCCACTGGGCTGGCCACAGCAGGAGGCTTGCAGCAGGCAGTCAGCAGCTTTTAGGTAGGACAGGTGCAGCAGATGTGAAGAAGCATAAGATACATTGAAGAAACCCTGTTAGAAGGAATATCAGCACCCAGTGCCATGTAGCCCTTGTAGGCTCCAGGCATAAACTAGGGATGTGTTTTTAGCCCCTATTACGTTGTAATCCTCTTTGGCATTGTTTTTGTGAGATAACCCAGAAAACTCAAGTACAGAATGCTGGTTCAGAACTAGAGAGGCGTGCTGTCATTTTAAGATTGCTGCTTACCAAAATCCCCTGCAGTATGCTTCTCTGTTTATGAGCTTTTGATACAGCCTCGAGTTCTGAGTTAAGCTCGTGTGGCAGCTGTGGCCTGTGGAACATTGCTGTTACAGGCAGTGAACAACATCTAACCATTTCATAAAGTACTGACATTTTTACAGAGATGGCTAACAAGGCCCCGTGGACCATGTTTCTCCTAAATGCCTTTTAGTGTTCTGCTGAAAATAGATATTAATTTTCCCTTTCGTAATTTTGTAATAGTACTTCAAATAATCTTATCTGCCTTTCAGAGTGCTCTATCAATTTGATGAATAGCACATTTTAAACACACTCAGATCTCTGCTGCTTCATAATATTTGAGATGCCTCACAGTTGCTCCTGTTTTATAGGCATCCTTTGACAAAAAATACTGTAGTTTCTCTCATCACTTTTCTTCTTTATTAATTGGGCTTCCATGTCGCAAGCTCTTCTCATAGTCTTTATGAGTTTCATAACAATTGGTGATTTTCTTCAGGTTCTAGCACCAGGATTACTGTGAATTCCTGCAACTTTCAGCCTCTGATTTTAAAAACAACAACAAAAAAGTTTCTAACTATCCTACAAATGAGCTGTAGAGAAAACCATAAAAACGCCAGAGTCTTTACACTCAGGAAGCAAATAGAAATAACTCTGCTTGTTGTTGTTGTTGTTGTTTGTTTGTTTTAATATCATGCTTTTAGAAATTCATTGCAGGATATGTTTGAATATGGGGCATTGGCAGAATGAGGTATCAAACTGCTAACATGGATCTGGAAAATGCTTTAGACCAAAAAATAAGACAATACTCTAAAATAGATTCTGCTTCATACAATAATAGTGTTCTTGGATTACAGAATTGATCACTTTTAACTGGATTTATTCATTTGGACAACTCGTGGTGTATATTTCTTCATGACTTTTAAAGCTGCTTCTCACTGAGATTAAGGCAGAATAATAACTGTCAAGATGGTAAAACAACTATTTGAAGATTTATTTAGATTGATAAAGGAAAATATTTTTTACATCTGAAAATATTAGTTACAGGCAGTTCAAGCAATACTATTTTAGAAATAATCTCAAGAGAGCACAATTTCAGTACGACATACAGAAAATATAGAAATGAAAGCAAAGGATGCAAAGGCAGCCATTACTGGATAGTGTATGCTGGGGTTATTTGACTGTTAATGACCTAATAATAAATTCACCCAAACTGTCATGGGACAATAAATAAAGTTCCTGACTGTCCTTTGAAATTCCATTTGGTATACCCGTGTTATTTCTGGCCTACGTCTGTCTAATCTGAAGACTTCCAGCGATGGTGACTACATCACCTCTCTGGGCAGTCTATCCCAACGCTTCAATGCCCTTATGGGTAAAGTGTTCCCCAATGTCTTACTTGAATTTACATTACCATAATAGGAGCTTCCTACTTCTCATCTTGTCCACCCTTGAGGTCAAGAACAGACTAATGCATTTCTCTAACAAACTTTATGTACTTGAAAACGTTCTCATGCCCTGCCTCAATCTTTTTTGTCTTATGCAACACAACCCTGTTCAACACTTTTATACAGGTTCAGTTTTCTCTAGGGTTAAGTTCTCCATTTTTACTGCCCTTTTTTGGACTCTCTCCAATTATCTTTGTCTTTGTTGAAGCCTGGCACCAAACCTGGACCCAAGGTGCTGTCTGAAGTCTTACCAGTGACAAGTTAAACAGGAAAGTTACTTCAAGTACTTTCAAGGCTCCCATCTGTAAAAATTTCATTGTTATGTCTACATATTTATTTTTATTTTTAAATAGTACAGCGTGGTTGATGCTTTTCATTTATATGATAGTCTCCAGACACTGCTGTTTGTTTGTTTGTTTGCTTGTTTTCTAAAACTACTAGTTTAGCTGTCTCCCATTCTGTTCAGGTGATTCATCTCTTATGTGCAGAATCTGATACTTGTCTTAGCTGAATTTCAGCCATTTCCAGAGCATTTCTCTAAAGTATGAAAAATCATTTTGAATTCTAAGCCTGCCATCCAACATACCTGCAACCCTCATAATTCATGTTATATTGAGATTTAATGAAGATACTCTGTCTTTTGTCTCCAGGTTATCAAAGAGACTGGTGCAGCTGTGATGAAGTCTAGAAGGTGCCTTGCCCTTAAAATGCTCTGAGGCACCGCATGTCATCTGGGTGGCCCAGCCAAAAGTGCTGGTGAAGAAATTATAGGCTGTAGGAAAACCTCAGGCTCTTTTTCACTTGTGAGGCCATGTTGAGGTTTTGTGTTCTTCAGAAGAAGGAAAATGGAGAGAAAAAAAAAAAAAAGTTACTGCTACTCATTCCAGGAAAAGCCTGAATGCCCCCAATCCAAGAACAAACTGGATATGGAGACAGACTCATGAGAGCATACTGAGTTGCAGTTTGGTAAATGTTGCCTAATTACGGAAACTTTAAAGGTCAATATTTAAAAAAAAAATCACTTATGGATTTAAATATTGAACTTAGAGCGTTTCACTAGAAGCTCATATCCAATACTTGCTCTTTAAGGTATATAAGACTGAGTGCCTTAAAATCATTTAAATGTTAAATCACAAAATGTTTAAGTGATTTAGGATTTGGGGCCTCATTTTTTTCTGTTTCTTGGTAACAACACTGTGGAAGAGCTGAAGTTATTTATGGTAGATGCAATATAAGCATCTGTGATTAGAGATAGTTCAGTTTATCCAGCAAAAAATGAATTTGATGCCTCCTTTCTTGCTCTTATTATTTGTCTTAAAGAACAGAATACTCCAAGGAAAAATGCATAAAGGCAATTTATTTAGGTACATTGTTTTAAAACACTCTTCTTTCAAAAATATGGTCGTACAATGCTTTTTAAGTCAGTCAATATTCTTTTACTATTTACTATGGTCCCCTCTCTTTCTCATAGAACCCTCTCTTTCCACTTTTATCTCTTGGCAACAACAACTCAAAATAGCTGTGCTGGCGGAACAATTAAACATTTCTTTAGGGGAAAAAAAGCAGCGAATCTGGTTCAATTAAACTATTTTGTGCTACTTAAACTTTAAAAAAATACAAAAAAATGTTGGGTTTGGCATTTAATATCTATGAATATGGAAGGAGGTGGGTTTTTCCAATTGCTCACATATATACGGCCTGGTGTAATCTCTCACACTCTTACTCTTTTTGTGTTGCTTCTGGGAGACAAGTTAGAATTTTCTTTACTGTTGCTTCTTCTTTCCAGTTACCCATCCTTGCCATGTGTTGGTCGAGAGGCCTTACACATCTTTCTTTCCCTTCCTTTTCCCTTCCCTCCCATATGCTGTGCCTTCCAAAATTCTGAAACTCAGGCTGCCTGGCCCTGAAGCCATTTCTATTTTTATTCTCTTTTCTACCAGTCCCAACATCACCCTTAATTTGTTTTAAGACTGTAGCTTCTCCCTTTAAGGACAACTCTGTTTCTAGCACTTTGCTCAAATACCAAGAAAAAGAATATCTACTTCACAGCTGTGTATGATCTGAAGCTCCTTTTTGCCATCTTCTTCTACTGACCTCTTGTTCTTTATATATTTGTTAAATCTCTGTTTTCATAGTTCAACATCTATGTGTTTTTCTTGTATTTTTTTATATTTTCTTGTGAACAAGATATTTCCTGTTCTTTCTTATTTGAATTTTCTTCTTTGATGGTCACGTATGTTTCTGTTTATTGGGTGAATACATATTAAATAGCTTTTCTACAGGTGACAAACAAAACCTCCTAATTTCTTTGTAACATTCCTTTACTTTTAATTAAGCACATACAGCATTTCTAGAAAGTTAGTGCTGTATTTAGAGCTCTATCACCATACGAAGTCAAGTCTGATTTGCTGTCTTCTGGTAAGCAGTAGCTTTCATTTTGGCCCTATCCCATTTCTCATCCTCCATAGAATAATTGTATTTAGCTTATTTTGCTACACGTGATTTAATGATTTAAGCTGATGTGTTTTTTTGTTTGTTTGTTTTTCCCTCCTGCACTATTATTTTGTATACATGCTGACATGCAAAGGAATGGGAGGTGTTTTTTTTTTTTTACTTAATCTGCTTCATGTGATACAAAGCACAAGTTAAACTCTTAGCAACATTATCAGAAATTTCAGTTGAAATGAAAACTGCTAGACTTATCCCTAGGAAAGCCTACAGCAAAACAGCAAGAAGGAGAATAAGTAGGTCATATGGCCAGAACGTTTTTGGAATGATGCTATGGTAGAAATCTTGGTTTAACCCAGACTGACCCATGCTTGGTTTTGTCTCCAGCTGCGCATCTTCGCCATTGCATAAGGTCTAAATGCTGGTTGCTGAATTATGTGACAAAGCTGCAGAGAAATGAAGGATCACTAACACCACAGAATGTGTAGTAGGAGTTTCTATGCTGACCTACTTCTCATTCTCATAAGTTCTGGCTACTGCAGTCACTTTCTTGCATTCCCTTCATTCATGTATTATTTAAGAAGCAGTTATACCTCTCTGTTATCTCTATACCAAGATATGAATTTATGTAACAGTTGCAGATCTTGGTTCATTGGCATATTTATGTGGGCTCTCTCTGTGGCTGCACTGCCACTCTTGCAATTTTTATGAAACTACTGTGGATTCAGCAGTGGGAGGATATTTCTCCTACCTGAAGCACAGAATTTTTTATTAAACCATAGAGAATGGATTGCATTAAAAAAATGTTTGAGCAGGTTTTCACTAGCCAAAGTGACTAAAATGACTTGCTGGGACTGGGAACAAGGACAGTTGTGCTCAAAAGCCACGTTAAATAGTTATGGTTGATTATTGCTCTAGACCGACCAAAACAGTCTAAAATGTTTTTTATATTTCATGCAGTGAGTTTAAACTGACTCCTGTATCACATTTAACACATCTCTAATAAAATTTTTTGAAGTTTAAACCTGGCTTGGGTGCATAGTTTCTGGTATACTTTAGTTGGAAAATTTCCAGCCATTCCTTATGCTATCATGTCAACTGCTTTTTGAGGAGCCTTCATACACAAAATGTAATATATAGAAATTAATGTTGAGTGGCAAGGTTTGAGTTTATTAAAAAATCTCTAGTTTTATTTTTCTCCATGCAATAAATATATCCTGCTTTGAAGTATGAGGTCTCTGTGCTTGTTAACTCTTTCCCTGATCTTCTTTTTCTGTAAATTTTATCTTTTTGGACACCTTAGAATAAACCAGACTGAAATTGCCCTTGATATAAGAAGGCATGACTCCTGGTGAAGTCAGTGGGATTTCTATCAGCTTACCCAAAGACTGAATTTAGCCTCCCTGTTTCGCAGGGAGAAACAGAACAGTGCTTCATTGTATATTTGCAAGACCCAAGGCTTGGTTTTGCAGAGCAAGCTCTATGATATACGCTGTTAGACAGCACGTGTTGTTTCAACACTATGTACTTGGGAACTTTCTTTGCAATCTATAGATTTTGTATGAAGATCAGTTAGTGCACCTCACGGACTTGTTTAGTTTGCAGTGATAATTTTGTTTGGTAAATCCTGATTCTTGATGTTCCTCACAATATGTTCAAGATGATTTAAATGCTAGAAAAGATTTGTCAAAACCAGCTGGTGTCCTCTGAAGTAAGAAACCCGGCCCTGGAGAAAAGTAAATGGGTAACGTAGGAGCAACTGGTTAGCAGAGCAGTTGCATTCTGCTTGTCTACCAGCATACACTAACCTGCAATTTATAAAAGAGTAGGCGGTTACTTTTAAGAGGCAATTATTTCCCACAATTTCTAGAGGGAGATTTTTTTTTTCAGCATGGAAAAATCCTCCTGCAAAACTGAAAAAAACCATCCATTATATTCTTATTTTAGGACAGTTAATTTGAATGCTAAATATGTCATTGAAGAAAGACTTTCTTTTGATTTGAATGCCCTACAATGAGTATTAATATGAAGATGGTTTTCTTCAGAAGTTGCATTAATATACTGTATTCAGATTTTTCTTGTATCAGACAAGGTTTTGAGGGTATCAGCAGCTGTTTGCTTCACTGTTAGTATCAGATAGGCAAATGTCTATCGGTTTCCTCCCTCTCAGGAAGTCAGATGCCTTGCTGAATCTGTGCATCTTTGGCAAGGCTGTCTCTCCGTGCAAAAAAAGAATGATCTTCTTGCAGACCTTACATAATTATCACTGCTGTCATCTCAGCTGAAAGTAGCCAACAGTTGCTTTGTGTGGATTCTTCCTTTTTCTGAGTTTCTCACTGAGGCTTAGTGGAGCCCAGTGAGGACATACGGCTTGTTCCTTAAGCTTTGCCTTCTTTTGATGGGTTGACGTGAAATAATAACCTAATACAGCGAGCAGCGCTAAGCAGTGTTGATGGTAGGTATGGTAAGGAAATACAAATTAGACATAGGGGAGAAGATGGGGAAGAAACACCTCAATTACTGAATTTGTTTACCAGTAACTTTGATAATTTTAATTTATGAGCTAGCTCTCTGATCCAGCGTTATATTGAACAAACCTCAGGAACACGAGAAATTTCAGAGCACGAGGAAAAAATGCCGTGTATGCATTTTTGGTGCATAAAAGAGTCAGAAGGGACCTGTGTAAATATAATTTGATCTCAGCCTCAGAGAAAACCATCAAAAAGCTGGTATGGGAGGCAGCTGTCAAAAAGCAAAAGGATAATGATGTTTTACATGGTGGCATCTTTGCAGTGGCATTTTACATGGTTTTATGAAAGTCAGCCAACTGTGCTGCTCTTGTGCAATAGAAATTACAAAGGCATGGTGTATCAATGCTTCACACTGCAGAGCATGTTCAGTAAGGGAATAACTGTTTCATGTCAGTACATGTACAGTTATCAGACCTTGAAAATTGGCTAACTGATAGATCTTGAATAATTGTACACGGGGAATGCTTCTCCAGAGACAGCATTTTTACTGAGGTCCTACAGGGATCTGTATGTTTATAGAGTGGACAGGAGTGATGGCACTGTCACTGGCAGCAATCTGGCCTGCTTGGTAACCTAAACTTGTTAAAAATGGGCTTTTTAATGCAGCAGAGCTCCAGGTAACAGACACAACAGTAGTGATGGTACTTACAGACCTGTAGCTGTGAAAGCAGCTTTGCTGTTGGAATGGCAGTACAGCAAAACATAATTTGGTACACTGAGACAATGACCAAGAGGTATAACGATGCTTATGCACCCTTCAATGTTAGCTGGAACAAAATGGCACGTAAATGGTGCTTATTTTTAACATTTGTGGTGCTGTTACTAGAACTGAGTGCTGTTGCTGTCCTGGAGCCCAAGTTTTGTTGAAGGTTGCTGACAAATTAGAAGGGATTCAGAGGAGTCTCAGCAATGCTTAGAAAACCTGCTTTACATCTCAAAACTGGTTTATCCAAGATAACTTTCAGGGATTTGCTTAAGATCAACAAGTGTCTTTATGAGACAAGAGGGTAATGGCACCCAGCTGCTCAAGTACAAAGTAAAAATAAGGGAGGAGGGGGAAACCACTGTTGTGGTGACCCCTTCACTTCAAATCAGCCATCACTAGAGTGTCCAGGTCAGGCCAGCTCCACTACCTAGAACGACAAATATTTTTCTTGGCTCTAGTGACTGTCGTGCTTGGCCATTAGTAAGACAGGGTCAGCTTGGCTAATCGTAAGTGAAAGGAAAACATGCATTTCTTGATGCTGTCCATGACTTTACTTTAGAGTCTTAATGTTCTACATTAATTCTTTCCTCTTTCTTTAGGGCACCAATGCCTCTGCTCTGGAAAAAGACATTGGCCCAGAGCAGTTTCCCATCAATGAACACTACTTTGGATTGGTCAATGTAAGTACTGTTCTTAATAAACTAACCATATACAGAATGATGGCTTTGATGTTGTTTGAACTTTGCTTTCTTTTTATTTATTATTTTTTTCCCTTCCCCAATCCTGCTCTAAGGCAGGACTGCCTTCTTTTGAAAGAGTGCTGTTCATGTTCCAATGTTGGGCAAAGTGGGTTTGCAAAATTGTTTCAGATGTTTTGAAGATATTTTCTCTGGGGGAGTATGAAGTTTAGTGTTCTCTGAGTGTTTTCAGTGGTTAGCACTTACACTTAATAAAGCTGAAAGTCTATTTCAGTTATAAAACACGTGGGACAGTCTCTTTAATTTTTGGTAGGAAGTGATGGAAGTATGTACAAGCTTAGATACCATGATCTGCATCAAGAACTCTCTTAGGAGGAGCTTTTTTTATCTGACTAAAGAGAGAATGTGTGAGAAAGCCGTTTAATCACTTGTTTATTCCCATATAAATCAAACAGACATAGTAATTCTTTCAAGTGAAAATATTAGTCATTTTGCTACTAAGCAGCATGATGTAGCCCAGCCAGAACGTATTAATATGTGGAAACAAGTTTAAGGGAATCTACTGCAATAAATGTATTTACTGCAAGTGGAAGAAATGTTATATCCTAGTTAATTTAGAACACCATAGTGTTTGTTTTGTTTTTTTTTGTTATCATTTTTCTCTGTTCAGTGTCAGATGAGGGTGTGGAAATACATTCCTACAGCAGCCAAATGACTGGTATGTGGCAGGGACACAGAAGGCAGAAACTGAAGTAGGAACTAGCTCAAGTTGAATGTAGTAATTAGTTTTTTTGTGACGTGCACTGATCAAGATTGTTTTTACTTTTACATGGCAGTTCGGGAACACCTGCTACTGTAACTCCGTGCTGCAGGCATTGTACTTTTGCCGGCCGTTTCGGGAAAATGTGTTATCATACAAGGCCCAACAGAAAAAGAAGGAAAATCTCCTGACTTGCCTGGCAGACCTTTTCCATAGTATTGCTACTCAGAAGAAGAAAGTTGGAGTTATTCCACCAAAGAAGTTCATATCGAGGTTACGAAAAGAGAATGGTAAGTGTGAAACTGGAATCCTTTTAGACATCTGTAGGTTGATCAGGAAAATTTAATTAATGGGCTATGTGGTCATGTTAGTCAGAACTTAGGTTAGATTTGTAAATTGCTTTTAGTGCTTTGTTTTAGATATTAATATTTTAGTATCTGTGTGTATAATAATATGCTTGAAATAGCCATACCAGCTTTCCTGAGTGCCCAGAGGCGTGTGGTTTTTGCTGCTTTCACAACATGGTGGGACAGACCACACCGAACAGTGAGCTAGGGCTAGCAATAGGGTGGCATTCTGCTGCAGGTCTTTTTTATTAATTTTAGTGAGAAACAGTTGTGGGCAGTTGGCAGTATGTCCTGGGAGGGCTACAGGCACACCAAGCCCAAAACACACTGGAGGACAGGTGGCAGATGTGTATGAGGGTTTCATGTCAACCACTTCTCTTGTTCTTAAAAGCAGTGGGTACATCATTTTGCGATGCATCGGGCCCTTTCTGAGCATGAAGTTGGCAGCAGCATATGCCTAATTTTGTAGTGTTACTTCCTTAAGGGATGTGGGGAATTGCTTGGAATAAGGAAGCCTGCCACACAGTTCCATTTTGGCCTGGATTCATATCAGTGTGGGTGGCATACTTAGAAACAAGGGAGCTTTGAATCTCAGATAAAATACGAGTTAAACACCTGGAAGAAATTGCTCACCGGTGACAGGCTATAAATGGGCTGACTGTCCATTGCAAAGCAGGCATTTGGAAGTGTGACAAAGTTAGCTCTGAGTCAGCTAGAGATCAGTGCCCCCACACTGCTGGGGATCACTTCTGGGGACTGGATCTTGGGTTTTCAGCTTTTCTGAATCAGGGCCAGCCTCAGTGTGCATTAACCTGCTCATCTGTCCAGACTAGACACTACAAAGCCAAAGGCTCTGTGCAATATTTTTTGGAGGAAATCCACATGGGCTTTTTCAGGAGCAGGGGGATAAAAGCACACATTTCTTGGGAACAGAAATTCTTTTTTCTTCAGCTTGGTGGGCAAATCAAATTAAGCCTTCACTAGAGAACTCTGTTCTACATCACCACGGAGATATTCTCTCCTCCTCCTACAAGGATTTTGTATGGAAGAGGATAAGTCCATGCTCATCAGACTTGTGTGTGAAAAATAAGCTTTGTTAGATGGTGTTATTATTACTGTTATGTGTCAGCATCAAATGTCTTCGTTTTCCCCAGCCACGTGTCTTACTGTCCAAACTCAGTGATGTTTCTTAGTGTCTGAGTGATGTAGAATATATGGGTGGGAGTCAGTGCTGCCTGATACTAAGCGTCTAGTCTAAGGAATTAACATTGGTCCCCTCTGTAGTCATCCAATTTCTCACACCCTTCTAGGTACTGAGAGTTGGCTGAATTGAGTCATCTTGCTTTCTTCACTGATTGTAATAAAAGCCTACACAACTAACTCCAAAGATGAGCCTAACCTTTTAGACAGCTGAAGTTAGGTTAGAAATGAAGCCTTCCCTCAAAGTAGCCTCACTGAAGGCAACGTGACTGCAAAATTGCTTTTCTTTGTCATGATTCTAAGTCCTCTGCTTAGCAAAGACCAATGTATGCATTTGGAAAGAAATAATGAATTTAGTTTGCTTTTTTGAAGAAACAGATATATTCAGCTTTGGAAATCTTGACTCTGTTTCACAGATCTCTTTGACAACTACATGCAGCAGGATGCACATGAGTTTTTAAATTACTTGCTGAATACCATCGCCGACATTTTGCAGGAGGAGAAGAAACAGGAAAAGCAAAATGGGAAACTGAAAAATGGCAACATGAATGAAGCTGAAGAGAATAATAAACAAGAACTCACCTGGGTGCATGAGATTTTTCAGGGAACACTGACTAACGAAACTAGATGTTTGAACTGTGAAACCGTAAGCATTGGGATAGATTTTTTTTGGTTGTTGCCCATTAATAGATAGATACATTTTATATGTATAAATATATGAATCTTTTCAGACATCTGAGAATTGTGGATTTTCCTGTAGACTTTGCTTCTTGAAGTGAGTATATTCTTTTCTAAAATTTTTTTTTCTAGGCGTTACTTGGCTAACCTATGCCAAGTCTTGCTGTCATAATACCTATCTCTACAGCTAAAATCCTTGCTAGGTAATCGGTATACTTCTTTATTACTGTAATTTCAGGAGAAGATATTTGCATCATTATTCCAAGAACCAGTGAAAAGTTAAATGATTTTGTATTAATTTATTCCTAAAAATGTGACTGACGTACAGAGGGTTTGTTATTAACAAACCAGTGTGTTTTCTTTTATCTTCCTAGTATTTTTAAAAGGATGCTGTCAATTTGAAGTCTCTTGTGTTTGAAGTACCAGTAAAAAGTAGTTTTAGTTAGTAAATCTGATTGCAAGTTACCTGTCAATTTCTGTGGTTTCCAATCATGCATTCCTACTTAAACAGGGGGAAAAAAAAAGAAAAAAGAAAGAAAAACAAAGAAAAAAAAAGTTTTTGTCAGTGAGGCTGGTATCTGAAAGTACACAGAGAGTATGTGCTAGAGAGTAGCAACCTGTTTTGGGGGGTGAGTAGTGAAACTGGCTTTCCAAAAAGGATGGAATTAGCCTTATCTAACCTTTGCTATGTAAAAGCTAGCTGTCAAGGATGAACTGTTTTTCTCAGCTCCTTCTGTGATGATAGAGATTACAGAAGAGCTCCTTCAGGAAGTTCTCTCCATCTGTCTCTAGGCTGTTACATGAGATAAAGGTTTGAGCATTATCAGGTATTCTATCTACTCTTGCTTGTTGTACAGCTGTTGTAGAGCTTGCTTGTGCTCATTCCATGGTGCCACTATCCTTGCACTGAGCTGTTGTAATTATTTCTGCAGCAATGCTTTAAATTGATCAATGAACTGATCTCGCCTAAGAATGATGTGCTTTTAACTCAGACAAATATTGCTACCATGGACTTTGTCCAAAGAAAACACAGCTTTTTTTGTTGTGATTACCTGCCTGAAGATAGAAGGAGGTGCCCTGAGAAGGAACCTTCTAACAGCAGGCTGAGGTTAAGTGTCTAACTTCAGGCAGCCAAAGTTAGGTGACATAAATCCTACCCAGGTCATAACAGATGTCTAAAATAACATATTCTGATATCATTTAATTATAAAGAATAGCACTGTTCTCCAATAAAATACAGCTTCTCAGGAGGTTTGGTTCAGTGACAGGGAAGAGGAATAAAGTGGTAGTCAACATGAGAGAAGGGGCTGTTGGACCAAGTCTGGAGCAAGGTTGTTTAGGTGAAAACATGACAGAGAGATTGAAAATTAATTATTTAATCTATTTCAATTATGAAAGCTCAAGTAATACTAGCAAGTTAAGTGAAAGGGTAGAACTATATTTTTAACTGACAAGCTTCTTTGAACTGTTGTGGCCTAATTCTAAATTGATATCCAGTGTTTACATAAGACAAATTGTACTAAGTCAGGATGTGTCCTTGGGTAACAGCAAAACTGCACAATATCCTATTTGTAATTCAAAGTGACCAAGCTTTATGGAAAAAAATAGTGCTAAGTACTGCTGCTTGGCCGCAGCTTCCTGTGATTGCAGAAATACTGTTTACTACTCAGTAAACTTTTCTAGTTAGTTATATACATTTTTATTTTTTTTACTGTACCTTGAAATCCTTGGAAAACAGTAGTATGGGTTAAAAGGTTCCCCTTTGCTAAAATACGAATATATTGTGCATGAAGAACCATTCAGATTCTAGCAGTTCTTGTTCTCACAAAGAGTGCAGTTTGAATCTGATTTTCTAGATACCTTCAGTTATGGTCTGTATTATTCTGTAATTAGTCTGTAAACATTTTACGTGCTGAAATCAGCAACAAAATCCCTAACTTCTTTGTGGTATTCAGATGAAACACTATATTTGCCAAAGCCTTTTCCAAGTATTTAACCTCCTTGATATGCAGTGTGGCTGTCAGAACTTCAGTTCCAGCAGCAGAGACACAATGTTCTCCGAAGTTTTGTTGCTCTATCTTTTGAGTTCTAGCTATGTGTTTATCCTGCAGTTGATTGCTGCCAGTTTTGTGGTTTCCTGTGCTCTTTGGGTAGAATCCTGTCTCAGAGAGGATTCTTGTTTGAAGAACTGCTGTTCATTTTATTTGGATGCACTTTATGCCTCTGTACTTCCATGACAATATCAAAATTAATCCTGCTAAAGGTGTTCTTCTGGATTCAGGACTGATACAGACTGCATTCACTATGTTTATAGGATCCCTGACATTATGCAAAGATGAGCCCAGAGCAGTATATAACTTCCACACACATAGACTAGCACTGATCTGAGCATGAGTGATCTGGGTCAGAAGAACAGACTCAACCCCTCACTGAAGTTCGTGATTTGTACTTCACTATCTTGTGTGGTTTGGTCATTCTAAGGAAAAGCAGATACAGGAAGAGAACTATGGAGTGTTCAGGCAGCATTTTATAAACAGAATTGGTTGTTTTGAATAAGGCTAAATTCATGTGCAGTAATTCTGCTACACTCTTAGTTTCTATGATCTGAAAAAGACATTATGGCTTTTCTGGATTTTCAAGGCCTTAAAAGCCTCTTAATGGATGAAGAGAAAATCTCTGCATTTTGGAATTTAATTGATAACCTGTCCTAATTCATTTTTTAACCTGCAAAAATATATGTTTAGATAATGAGGAAGTTTTAGTATTCTAAAATTTGAGATGACCCAAAATGGGATTTTTTACTTGCAGCATGTTTCCAGATCTGTTTGTCTGCCATTCCCAAAATAGTCCCAGTTAATGGTTTTGAAAACACCCTTTATCAGATTTTTTTTTTCTCCTCTTGTTCCACCTAAACAAAACATTGGCAAAATCATAATTACTTTGCAAAACACTAACACTTTGCTGTTTTTACCTGTAACCTCTTATTCAGCCTGTTCAAAATTATTGATCAGGAGTAATATTCAATGGGGAAATGCAGGTCTGTCAACAAGAAACATAATGACAGGCTTTTAAATGCTGACCAGAGAGAAAACAACGTGGTTGAATGACACTTCTCAATGAATGCCTACATGGAAAGTATCTTCACTGCAACCTTAATGGTGGATATAATTATGCAGGGCATAAAGTGAGATTATGTAAAGTAGTATATTATACACAGATAAATAAAACTCCAGTGTAATAAGGAGCTGGGCTGTGTTGCATAACAAGAGACCATATGTAACAGAGCAGTTACAGCTAACATAAGGGATGATGCTCTCCTTGTAATAGACATAAAACTGCAGCCACTGATCCATGGTCAGTGGGTTTGGCTAAGTGGAACAGATGGAAGTAAAATGGTATGAAAGCTGGGTTGGTCAGGTTGCTAACCTGACAGAATGAATACAGTCATGCTGAACTAGGGACAAAATTAAGTCATCAAAATAAATTCTTTGTATAATTTATTTTAAGAAATCATTCCATCTTCAGCACTTGCACATAGGCATAAACAGCATTTGGATGTATGATTTTTACTAAGTCTGTTTTACATGTATATTCTTTGCCACAGGTTAGTAGCAAAGATGAAGATTTTCTTGACCTTTCTGTTGATGTGGAGCAGAACACTTCAATTACACACTGTCTAAGGTAAATCAATGCATCTCTTTGACAGATATGTCTATCTGACTTTGTTAATTTTTCCAAGTCTAGTAAATACAGAATAGAAAAGTAGAATAACATTGGTTTTTGAGATTTTCCTAAGCGGAAGAAAACTAATGCAAACTGGATGTTTCTTCTAATGACAAAATACACATTAAGGGATTTTGTTTTACTCTCACTTTCAATGCCTGTGTTTGGAAGAGAAAAAAATTCTCTCTCAGGGAAAATAATTTATTGCCTTGTCATCTGGAAGAATTGCTGCAGAATAAGAATTGGCTTCAAAGAGATTTGTGTGTGCTTATCTTTAAGCTTTTAGTCAAGTGCTTTGTTGATTAGGACTTATGTGCATATTAAAAGTCAAGTGTATGCTTTGTAGAATGAGTGCTAGAGTCCCTAGAGGGCAAAAGATTCCCAAAGCCTAATTTTCTGCCATATAAGTTTCTTGTTTTGTGTCTCAACCTAAAAATACAATGAGAAGTCTTTTATTCTAAGTCTCAGTTCTGCTTTTAGTACATGCTTAACTATTAAATACTTCAGAGATCAAAATAAATTTCAGGTTTGCATGGGTGATTATCCTGAGAGATTTAAAATATACGGAGTTTTGACATTGATACAAAAAAAAACTATATTTAGGTTTAATAAAGTGTGTTGCTGATCTGAAGGATTATCAATTGCCCAAAGTACTTTTTCAAGCTCTTTCAAAGGCTAACAACTTTGAACTTGCATTTAGTTTTAGCAGTTGTTCTGGAACACTTAGGAGATGTTGCCTGACATCTCACACCAAACTGAGATTTACAGAAAGAGAAAGCATATGAGGTGCTAACCACTTCCTGAGTTAGAAAGCACTGATTTCTGTGTCGATAAAACTGTACTAAGAAACAACTGTTGCATTTTAAAGTGCTAGATACAGTAAGTTCATTCCTTCTCAGTTTCAGTTCAGTCTCCTGTAGGGTACTGTAGAAGTCCTTAGCCCTCAAGTAGGGATGCTTGTCCCTCCTGTTCCAAAAGATCTTTTATCAGTAGTAACTCCATTGCATACCTTCTGTATATTCTGGGCATTAAAAAAGGGTTTCTCCTCTTCCTCTTAGCAGCAGTGGTTTATATACAGAATGTCATCACTCTTCCTAGAATTGTGGGTTTATTTTTATTTTTTTTTATTTTATCTTTTTTTTTATTATTTTTTTTTCTTCAAATTAAACAGCCTAAGGTCATTCAAGCATTCTTTCACAGGTCATCTTCTCTAGGTCTCTGTTCATTTTCATTACTCTTCTGCATTCTCTCCAGATGAACCTCTCTCTTGAATTCCCCTTCCTAAAGTGCAGTTGCCAAAAACTAGGCACAGTATTCCAGCAGAGGTCTACACAGTCCTGAAAAGTATGGATAGCCAAAAAGCCAAAAGTTGTTTATACACAGCAGAACCACATCTGCCTGACTCCCATCAATAAATATCCCATGCTACTTGAAAGCTATTCATTGTTTCTTCTAAAAATAAATGGAAGTAAAATCTCTTTTTTTTTTTTTTTTTTGGAGGGGTAGGGAGGTACATGGTGCTCTTTACATATTAAACAGGAAGTGAGTTATCACCTGTCATCTCTTCTAATTGTCTTTCACACTAGAAGCAGGTCTACCTCTGTTTAGAAAACATATATTCAGTGAGACTATAGATTTCCTCTCACTGCTCTACTGCATTATTCATTAGTAAACAGAGTGTAAGTGCTTTTGTGGTTACTGCTAATAGGAATGACCAAGTTACCATTCTTGTAAAATTCACTGTATCCCTTTTAAGATAACTGCTCTGCTGTGCTTTTAAAGCTTTAAATGCTGCTGCAGTGAAAAGGCAAGTTAAAGAAAATCTGTGCAATATAACATTTTGGTAAAACAAATTTCTTTGCCCCTATGGATGAATGTTCTTTTCAGTTATTTTCGTAGCTATTCAGATTGAAAAGGTCCAAAGAACACAAGCCTCTGGCATAGTCTAACTCCACAGGGTAGACAACTGGGCCTGAAGCAACAAAAGTTTAATAACATACATAGTACATTTCCATTATTTTTATTTCCACCAGGAGCTGCAAAGTTTACAAGTCCATTTGATCCTGTTAACTAGACTGCCTGTGCTTTTTTTTTATTCCACTAAGAATTCTGTCATCTCTTAAAACAGAAAATGTATACTATTTATTCATATAAACAACAGAAAGCATCTTCTGCACTGTAGCACTGAGCTTGTAGAAGTGTGGGAGCATATAGGGTCAGCGTTGAATTAGTATGTCTTGAGCAGGTGTAGTTAAAAATTCCTTTTTCCTGTTAAAATAACATAAAAACAGAATGAAGACTGGCCCATTCATGGAACAGGAGATAGTTGGAGGTGTCTTGAAATTAACTCTGCAGTTGTAGAGAAAGGTTCCTCAAGCCTGTAGTTCTTGTGCATTCAGACTGCCTGAACTCCAATGATCAGCTGTTTATAACTGTGAAACATCTAATGCCGAAAATTCTTGATTGATGACACTACTACCAAAGTTGCACTTGTAAACGGCAACAAAACCATCTAATTTTCACCTGCATACCTCCCTTTCCCCAAAGGAAATAGTTATAGTAAGATCTCTCATGCTCTATCAGTCTTAAAGAACTTAAATTTGAAACTGGAAAATTCCCACTTTTTATGAAGTTGCAGAAGTAACCTAGTACCCATGCCCTGGCAATACTTACAGTCTTCAGTTCTCCCATCTGCCCCTGTGGTGATGATGCCAGGTAAAAATAATAGTGAGGAATCCTTTCCTTGCCTTTCTAAGAGGAGCCTGCAGCTGCCTGCAGTGAGAGCAGGCTAACCTTGCAGGCAGCGTGGCTTCAGCCTCTATGCACATGGCCTGAATGAAGCTTATTGCTGGGACTGAATTTGTCTGGAATTCAGAACTCTGTCAGGTACCACAACGTAGGTTCAATCAACAGGTCAGTTCAGTTCTTCAGAAACATCTGAATCTTTAAGGCCTCATTGGACAGGTCTTCAGGCAACCTGATCTACTCAGAGGTGTCTCTGGCATGGCAGGGAAGTAGGAGTGGATGATCTCCAAAGGTCCCTTCCAACCCAAACCATCCTGTGATTCAGATACATCTATTTAAAGCTCAGAGTCACGAGAAAACCTGTGTGTCTAAAGTGGAAGATAGGTGTTTATGACTGTATTTACAGTTCTCAAAGCACCTGCTCAGCTGCAATGTAACACTTAAGGTGACAAAAAAATCACTGCCATTTTTTTCCAGTTAAGTATTTTAAATACCTAAAATGGTGTTCCCAAGATTATCAGCATTGTGACTATAGCAAATCTTTCCTGTGAGCTGAGCAGCATTATCAAGCCAGGTCTTCCTCTGCTTCTCTCAATTCAGAAGCTCAGTCCAGAAACATTTCTAAGCATATTTACTTGGTAGATATTTAGGAAAACTGCTATCATAGCTGTCACTTTCATTTTTAGACAACAAAAAAGCATAATCACATAACTTCTGGATAATGGTTCAGAGGTTAGAATATACAGAAGACTGAATTCAATTTATTTCTTCTGCATAAGAGTATTCAAGCCTGTCTTACAGAAGAACACCATAAAATGTGATCAGTTTGTGAATGACTGAAGTGCACTTGAAGATAGTCCATTCTGCAAATAATTTTAAAAGACACTGGATGGATCAAGCAACTACATTGAACTCTAGGCAGCTCCTTGACATGCAAGAGATGAGGATGTAGATCTCAGTTAGAGACACCTGACCCTTCCCGTGAATGGTATGTAGGCCCTCAGCACATAACACAGGGCTGTCACAGCAGTCAGATACCCCAAGTCCCTTTGCAAATCCCAGTATTATTGATTTAGGTGCTATAGAAAACTGGATGTCAGTGGAAACAACATTTCTTCATGTGTGTCTTTTTAGGGTTCCAGTTCCACAGCCCAAGTGTGGTACTGGGGCAGAAGTGTTAAGAACCTTTAAGAACTTATAACTGTATTTATTTACAGAGACTTCAGCAACACAGAGACATTATGTAGTGAACAGAAATACTACTGTGAAACTTGCTGCAGTAAACAAGAGGCACAGAAGAGGTAAGCAAAGAGTAGGGTGTTTCACTGTGTCCCTCCTGAGCTTTGACAAGCCTTCTCCTTAAAATTCGTTGTGTTTAGATTGCTTGCACCCCAAAGGCACACTCTGAGGGCCTGAGGACCTACAGACAGATTAAAAACTATTACAAGTTTTAGTGTATATGCTACTGCTAGTAAATAGACTACTGCTAGTTACAAGGTGCTTTTTAAATGCAAACATTACTCATCAAGGAAAGAATGGCTTTGAACTGGGCAGGTCTTTATTATGTGCACTCTAATGGTTTCACAGGATGCGAGTAAAAAAGCTGCCAATGATTCTTGCCTTACACCTCAAGAGATTCAAGTATATGGAACAATTGCACAGGTATACCAAGCTGTCATATCGTGTAGTATTTCCTCTGGAGTTACGTCTCTTCAACACATCTGGTGATGCTGTCAACTTAGATCGGATGTATGACTTGGTAGCTGTTGTTGTTCACTGTGGAAGGTAAGACACTTTCATGTCTATCTCAAGCTATTGCTTTTCTCGAGCTATTGCCAATTCCAGGCATTTGTAAGGGCAGAGGCATGCCTGACAAAATGGAGGGAGAGTGGGAGGGGGGACATAAACCATGCTGCTGCATCAGCTTGCGTGTATCTTGGCCTGAACCTCTTAAAATATTTGCCTTAGCTGATGCCTGCTATCAGCAAATCTGCAATGAGCAAATTGTTAAGTGCTCTGCAGGTTAATTTGCAAATGGTCATAGAACAGATGAAAACAACACATTTAGCTTTTAGCCTATTAAGTCATTGCAACAAGGGATAAAAGAACATTTCTACTGTAACACCACAGGTGGGTTTATTATATTCTTCTTAACAAGTATTTATAGTTCAGTCTGCTTTAACATAGACATGTGACTTACCAAAATGAAACCTAATAGTACCATCTAAAGTTATTTCAGGTTTTGTGATTTTTATTTGTTTTGCTTTTTAGTGGACCAAATCGTGGGCATTATATTACTATTGTGAAAAGTCATGGATTTTGGCTCTTGTTTGATGATGACATTGTAGAGGTCAGTATGCTGAAGGCCATGAGCATAACGGTTTGTTTATGTTCTCTTCTCAATTTGGAATTAAAATTCTGATCCAGATCTGGGTATAGATTACTACTCTACAAAGTCTCAGCTTGGTTGTAATGTGACATTTAGCTCAGCTCAGTTAGGAAGTAGGATTGCAAACAGGATGATTAATTGTGCAGTTTGTACCCTGTCAATGTCAAAAGGGGTTGTTTTATTTCAGAGCAACATCAAACATTTTTAATATCAGATTCTGAGAGTTTAATTTGGAATGTTTTCTCTATGTAATAAAATCAATTTAATTCATTACAGGAACTATTTTGCAATCTTTGGCAATATCACCAGGCAAAACTGGACTGGTTAAAGTTATGTTTGCTGTAGGATTTTAATTCCTGAGCAACTGGGAAGTTATAAGAAAGTCTGAATTCTGTAGTCAGTCTGGGATTGTCTGGATGCAAATTAGAGCAGAGTCTGGTCCACAGCTCTTACAGATTCTAAGCACAGAACAATTAATTCCCAAGCAAACCCTTTATGTCACTCTGGCACCTGGCAAAACTGAGGTCTTCAGTCTTGTTTCCCAGGTTTAAATTCATTGGAGTGGAATAAGCACTGGGAGTTTGGGACCATTGGGAATGGTGCATGTCCTGAAGAGGTGCATGTCACCTCGCAGAAAGATGAGGTCGCATGGTCACATTCATGCTTTTTGCCAGCATTCACTACTGCATTCAAAATAGTCTCTGTTATTAGAAAAAGCCTTAATTCAGCTAGCTTCTCTGAAACAAACATTTCTATTGACTTCACAAGTGCAATCAGTAGAATTTAGCCCCTGAACGTTACCCTTTCAGTGCCTGAACTGCAAACAGAATTTGTTAATTGCTCCCCTGAACTGGATTTGTCTTTTGTTTTTACACAGCCATTTAATCCATGCTCGGTGTTTCTTTAACCTAACTGTACATAAACAATTCTATTTATCTTGCAGAAAATAGATGCTCAAGCTATTGAAGAATTCTATGGACTGACCTCTGACATATCAAAAAATTCAGAGTCTGGTTATATTTTATTCTATCAATCAAGAGAGTGACTTGGCAAACTGTGACCATTGCACACCACAATGCTGCACGCAGAGAAGGTGATGGCCCCCCTGAACCAACTTTTACAATGATCACATCTTGTATGGTCGAACAATGATAAGTCTATCTCCTATTAAACAGTCCACGTGGTATTGACTATAACCACTCACTTTTGACATGCAGAACTTTATTTTGGTGAGGGGGGTTAGTTTGTTGTTTTTAAGTCTGACTGAAAATGTAATTGCAGTCAGATTTTAGTGGAATTTATATGGACTAACATTTACAGATAATAAGATCTGGATGTCAACTGTTAAATCCAATCCAGCTAGAGTAGTATTTTATATGGAAGTGTTCATTGCATTTAGGGCAAAATTGTTTAAAGCTTTCTAAATGATTTTGGGGTGTGTTGATTTACAAAGCATTCCTTTAAATACATTCTGACATATACTTACCCAATTTAAGTGTATGAAAAAAAAATCTGCTTCGTAATGACTTGAATTGTGGTTGCATAGGGGATTTTTTTTTTCTGACATGTTACTCTTCCCTGCAAAGATATTCTTCCAAAACCACTTAAGCTTTGGGTTTTTAAAAACTTTCAGTTTATAACTTCAGGCCTAACATTCACATAGAGAGAGTTAAATTACAGTGGAACTAAGTAATGTTGTATGTCCAGTCAGTGTGCTAACCGTGTGATAGCACAGCTAGGTGAGATTTCAGAATTTAGAGAGCACTGGGTGACATACATGTATATGACACAGAGATAAGTAACATTTATAGAGACTGGGCTTATCTGTCTGTTAAAACAGTATAATAAGGTCCTTACTTAACGTAGTTCGCAGAGATAACAACACTGCTCAAGTACAACATATCCATCAGGACTGAAATTACACAGTCCTAAATATGTGTTGTTGGTACAATACAAAAAACAGGGCTTGATCCTGCAATTTTCTGAATATCTGTAGGTCTCACATACATTTCTCAAGGAGTTCATTTCTTGGCAACATAACAGCATGTAACAATCATTAGTTTACACACGCTGTCATGTATATGCTATTGCTAGTGTTTTGGATCACCACAAAAATTTTAGCCATACTTGACAGCATTTGGACCACCACAAAAAGAGAGGGCTCTTGAGGGTCTGATTTTTAAAATATCAGAAGGCTTAGTGCAACTGTTTCTGATTTTACTGGGTGAATTTGGTTGGCAATAGTCATGCACTGGTTAATAAAACTCTCAACACACATACTAGAATTTGTCAAAAGAAAGAATGTAGAAGAAAGTATCAATAGGGTTATGAGAAGCAATGGATAGCAGGATGAAGCAGTGGTAACACTGGGTATCTAGCTTGCTTGGTTTGACACTCCTTTATGCAATGCTTGAACCTCAGTAGCCAAATACCTGTTCCAATAAAGTCAACAGCAAAGAAACTCCTGCTGTCTTCAAGGGGACTGAAAGTTGGTTCCAGTATTTACAAGGAAATTTTCTCATCTCACAAAATGTATTTCTACTTGTTATATTTTATTCACTCTTGTTCTGTATTTATTAGTCAATGTTGCTTTTGGTACTTTTCTTTTAGAAGCCCGCCTACCATTTTATGGCAGGCACTGTTTCAGAAAATGGCTTTAGAAGCACAGATAAATGTTGTATTTTAGTTTTCTGTAGGAAAGAGAAAAACATTTTTCATTGTAATCTACTGTGAATGTGGAATATCTTTTTGTTGAATAACAGTGAAAATGAAATACTAGCTTCTACTGTATCATCAGCTGAACAGCTGGATTTATCAATGGCCATTTTGTAAACAAAGGAAACGTAGCACTTTACACTGAAGGAGAAACAGAAGTGGACTTTTCATATAACATTGTTTGTGGTTTATCATGTTGTACCAATACAAGAAAACAGACGTGGAATGTAACCTTAGAGTACTGAGGTGGGTGAGTAACAGTAGAGGTCTGCAGAGATCATTCACATGAATGAAGGTTGTTATGCAGGCTAAAGGCAGGCGTAATCGGGATGCAGTTGTACTTTTATTGATGATGGAATTAAATGTTCTGTCTGTAACACAAAAGACAGACATCATACAGGAGACCAGCTCTCACTGAGCCCCAGGAGATTTTTCCACTGAGAAGCATATCCTTCTTTAATGGATGTATTTATGAGCATTCAGAATTTCCCCATTAAAAGTAGAATAATCACTTGCCTTTTAAAACAGGAGTGTATTCTGATTGTGAATGAAGACACTCCAGTTCAGCATTCACCAGTATTGGTCCAAGAGTCTGTACTTTAGGGCATTCTTCAGTTTTAAAACAAGCAACAAAAAATACATTCTCAATGTATCATTTGGATGTGTGAGGCTCATGTTTGTATGTAAAGTAATTTTGCATAAAAATAACTTTAAGATCAGTTCAATTTTAGAAAAGGTTTTTCATATTTGAATTAACTTATCTGAAAAATGATTTTTTAATGTTAATAAAAATGAAGTAATATATAAATGATAAAGTATAGGATACTAATCTTTGCTTTTCTCTAGCTGCAAGACAGCTCTAGGTTGTAAAACATACAGGTAACTGTTGTATGTTACTGCTTTTCATAAAGTAGGAAAACTCTTTAAAAATGAATTGCCCAACATTTCTGTTACAAATGAAAAGAGATGCACAAGATGCGTGAGAAAATATTGGAAAAATATTGGAAAGGTACTTGTAGCAGGAGATCTTTGTCAAATTAAGCACGTTTTGCAGGATTAGGATTGTCACAGGAACAATATTAGGATGTAAAGTATTTTAGTTGATTAAAAAAAATGTAATCCTTTCTTTCTTAAGCTTATATATCCAGTTTCTTATAAAAAATGGTGAAATATCTAGGACAATCAAAGTTTTTCAATCAGCAGCTAGAACATAAAAATATAGCACAGATATCTATGAGTGTCATGTCCTTCCCTAAAATGACTGCTTTTATGGTTCTGAGTGTGTTAGGCCTAATGACATCTGAAGTTCTCTGCTCGTTTCATGTGCTGTTACCAATAAGTTCATAAAACTTCCTACCATGTTCTTACTTTGAAAAAGAACACTTTTGTCCTGTGCTGTTTTTCAGCTAAACCCGGTGAAGCACTGCAGTGCTGATGAATCAGTTGTCTTAGAGGATGAGCTCAGACCTCAACTCCAGTGTTCTGCAGAACAGGCTGTCAGGATTTTATGTAATTTCTATTTCTGGGACACAGCAGAGGGAGTGATGGAGGAACCATATCAGCAAAGCAGAACACCTTGTTGCAATTAAGTCCCCAAATTGCTCCTGTCAATTCAATTTTAATAATTTACAGTTACCACAGAGCAGCAGATAACATCTTAAAGATCTTGTTCCTTTAGCAGTTGTAGTAAAGGAAATAAAGCAGTAGGTGTTTCCTTCACGTTAGATTGAATAAAGGTATTAAAGGCCTAAGCTGAAATTAAAATTCATGTTATGTGGTGGCCCTAACGTGCTACCACACCTGTCTATTATCTTCAGACATTACATTTAATTCTCCCATCTGTAACAGCATCACCTACTTGGGACCGGAGCTGACAACTTGCAGCTGCCAGTGATTTGATGTCTCTCAGCAGCAGACTCTTCTTGATTTATCACATTTTCACTGTGTGAGGCTGGCCAGTTTGAGCAGTATCTTATAGCTAAATGTGTGTTAGTAATTTTAAGAAGTTTTGGATTTGTATCTGTTCCATGTTAGAACTTTTATCAAAGTCTGTTTTAATTTATTTCTCCTTTGTTTCTCTGTTAATGTATTTGTATAATAACTTATGTAGTTAATATTATTAGTTTTCTGTTTTAATTTTTATGTCCTTTAAGTTTTTAAATGTAACCAACCAAAGCACTTTAAGCATCAGTGTCAATCTTGTGAAATTCCAATCAGCTTAACACATTGCTGTTGTCTTTTTGCTTTTGCAACCTTCTGCTTGCAATGCAGCGTCTCTAGTTACAGCCCAATTTCCATTTCTATGTTTGTAGTCCTAGATGGGCTGTAAATTTAGGAAGCACAAATTTGCTCATATGTATTTGTTCATATTGCTGTAGAAGGCGAGAGGACAAACGCACTGTAAACACTGCAAGGATGACAAGGATGCTGTATTTATAGCGTGTCTGTCCTCTCACCTTCTATAGCAATATGTACGTGATGAATTGCACTTACACCTCGCATTTCACAGCCTTTTTTGCACTCTATCTGCAAGGCTACAGATAAAGAATGGAAGGGCTGCAATACTTCCTTCTGTTGCACAGTTATTAATGACCATAATTTAGAAAAGCTCCACTTCTCCCAGGGATATTCTCTTTTACCAAACAGTTACCTGTCAGTCAACTGATAATGCACATAGTGCTCTATTTGCCATTTTACCTGTGCTCTGTGCAATCTCAAACATGAGTAATCTTAAGAGCTGAATTTATTCTTGGCCTTCATGTGAGTACAAGCAAGGAGAGCAATCTTTTTGTATCTTCCTTCTCTCCACTTGGGCTCATATAAAGGAAAGAAGTAGGACGCGTGCTATTAAAATAAAATAAAATAAAATAATAACACTCCATCTATCAAAGATGCTGACTATTTCTTACAGAGCAGTGCTGATAGTAACCATATCAGAAAATCACTGACTTAGTTTTGTTAGTGCAAAACTAATTACAAAAGGCTGTTGTTAATTTATTTTAGATATTGTACTCTCTTCGATCGATGAAAAGACCATGACTTTTTCCTGTTGCTGCAGTTCTGTTGGTGAGGTGTTTCTTATCAATTTAACATGGCACTGAATATTTAAACAGCCCTTGGCAAGCCTCAAAGACACCCTTTTAATTTCTTTCCAGCTAATGTGCATTACTTTGGGGAGATTGCTTGAACCCATCCACAAGAGTGATTTAGATTCGTATTTTTGCATACAAGGTCAAACAACACCTACCAGGTATGTGCCCACCTGATGGGACCAGCTGGGCTAAGCCCACACCTTTTTACACACTAATGATTCTTTACCCCCTAGGAGGTTTGCTTGCTGGCTTTGCCTGGAGGATTTAATATGAGGCTGCACATAGCTCCCTTTATTCACGGTCTCAGAGTTGCTATAATTCTCTAATAATTCTGCTCCACTGGGTTATCAGGGCTGGGACCATTGCACAATGTAAAATAAATTAACTTGTGTGCGCCATTTACAATGGGCAATTTTACAGCTTAATGCTTCTGATGAAGGCTGTTACAGGTGGTAACTTTGCTGTATGAAAGACGCTTAGAGAGTGATTTTTCTGTATTGGCACAGTAGTTTGTAGGAGGAGCTGGACTGACACACAGCATCTTAACCTTCAGCTTCCCAGATGAAGTCGGTGCTCCATCCTCTACGTAACCCTAACCCTTCTCCTAGAGGTTCCAAAGCAGCAGAAACAAACCCTGTGAAGACACCCTGTAGCTCATCACAGCCCACCACAGTAGATAATTAAGAAATATTTGCAGTCCTTCTCCCCACAACCTCAATCTCTCATTAATGGGAATACATTCCTCAAAGAAGCTGTGCTCAAACATCAGCTTTCTATTATCCATGGTGTTCATATCTGCAAGCATCCCATGGCAGACTGTGTTCAGACACTGTATTATTTTCTAGTCCTTTTCTCAACTCTCACTCTAATCCTAAGAGCAACTTCAGGGCAGCTGAGTTACAGATTCATGTGTTAATCCTGGAAAAAAAAAATACCAACTTCAGTGACTTTCATTAAAGAGCACTAACAGGAGCTCTGTAACTTACCTGTGACTCTTCAGGAGTAAAGTCAGCATTAGTGTACAAATATGAGTGTAGAGTAGTGGGGAAGAAGAAAAAAAAAGAGGAAATATGGAAAGGGCTGTTTTGTCTGAGGCTTTGGATATGTATATCTGTTTGTAAATATGCAGTCCCTACCTACCTGGTCAAAAAGGTGCAATCATAGAAAAACTAAGTATTTTGTGCTAGTTTTTTGAATGGAGTAAGAGGTAGTAAAACTATTAGGCATATGACTGGGGACTCGTAAAATACTGAATTTCCTGTAAAGCGTACGATATCCCATGTGTGTGTACAGTTGAGTATCTGCTCTTTTTAATCATGTACATGTAATTAAACCCTGCGCTATCTGCAGAACTGTAAGATAAACCTCATGTTGGATATTAAGGTTGTAACATAAGAAAACAGTATTTTCTCCTGTTAACATGTTTATATTTTACATAAAATAAACTCCCTAAACCGATCTTGTTTCCATTCAGCTTGCCTTGGATTTAGCTGGAGCCAGACTAAGGCTGAACATTGGTGTTTGTTGTTACACAAAATGCTTCTGAGTGCAAGGTGTCTGTAAACTTACTGACAGGGAGACTGCCGATGCTTGCTTGTTATTTCACGTAGTGGAGTGCCTCCATTTTGCCACTGGGGCTGCCTCCGAAGTGTGTCAAGGGAACACGTTTTGCATGCAGGCCGTGAGTTGTCTTGGTGGACTACACACACAGCTGCGTGACCGAGCTGCACCTAGTTAAAGAACACCACTGACCTTGCCAGTGTTACTGAGAACAGCTAAAACTGAACAGAATAAAAAGCAGCAGAATTGAGCTACGTATTGCAACAGTGAAAACCCCAAGGCCTTTAGTCCGGGGTTTTGCTGTGGCTACTGGAGCAGGAAGGGGTTTTGCTAAAGGGGTCTAAAGTTCTGTCAGAGGACTGAAAGATTCCTGCAGTCTGCTCATTTTTCTGAAGTTACTCATTAGCAAACACGATTTACTTTCTCAAAAGTGAGGAAAATAAAAGGCTGGAGTTTCTTGCCCTTGTCTAAATGGATTCCTGTATTCCTTCAGAATTCTTTAGAGAACCAAAATCAAACATAGCTGTCAGACTGTATGCTGAATTTATAGGTAACATACTATAAGATTTATGACACATCAGACTATCAAAGGACTAGGTTCAAAAACACTTCACATCTTACAACACAGATTTCCTCTCAGATAAAAACCTTGAAGCACCTTCACATTTATTCTTGGGTTATTAGAGCATAAGCCTTAAACTAGAGGATGGGGAGACAAATTTAAAATGCAGGATATGACAGAAATAAATCTCAAATCTATAATTTTAAAACGTTTTATAATGTACATATAAATAAACCAATAAAAAAATAATCAAGAATTATGTTCAAAATCACTCTATGTGGGCTCCAGAAGAATTGCTCTAATTTCAGAAATGCATTTTCCCAGGAGTTGTATGATGCTTACCTATGCCTCTGTCCCTTCATTTTCAGTGTGACTTAATCATTTTTAGATTAGATTGGGTTGTGTCCAGTGTACCAGATAAATAGAGAAATGCTAAAAATATAGTTCCATCTTGATTGAAAACTCAGTTATGGTAGGAGAAAATGATAAGATTCCTCAGTTCAATACACTCACCAAAATAAATTAAAAAAAAAAAAAAAAGCAATTAATAAATAAATAGACTACATGGAAGACCATGTTTCTGATTATTCTGATTATGATGATTTTCAATATCTGTGTGCAATTAAAAAAAAAAAAAAAGGAAGAAAAATGGGACAACCATTTTCAAGATATAAATATAAATGTATGGTAACAGAACATTTCAGTCCTCAGTGCTGAAAAACGTTCCTTTTCACTTATTAATTTTATATCAAATATTGAAATATTACTTCATAGCCTTGTTGCAGTTCACTCCTCACAGCATGACTCATCTGGCCACTGCTGTGACCAAAGAGCTTCAACCTTTCCTTCCTTCTTAAAGAGGTTGTATGGGGAGCTTATGTGGTGGGGGCTGTGGGGCCAGAATCCCTTTGAACTGGATCTTCCTGGATCCTTCCTCCTGGGGCACACCAGACCAGTGACAGCTTTCTCTGTTTCATGTGAGCAGCTTCCACTTTTCTTTAAGTTTATCTTTCCAGCAATACATGGTGCACAAATTTTTTATTATTTCCACTGCAGTATCACTTTACTTTAGATAGGAAAATGCATCAGCAGATCTAGATAAAAAGATAAACAACAGTAGGTACTCCTGCTTCAGGTTGTTCATATGGTGGTATGGCATCTGAACCTGGGAAGGAATCCTTTGATGAATCAACCCAAGATCAAAGCTATTAAGGTATTTAAGGTATTTTAAGGAAGATATTTAAGAGGCATGTGGATATGGCACTAAGGAACATGGTTTGATGATGGGACTTGGTAGGTGAGGTTGATGGTTGGACTTGACGATCTTGAAGATCTTCTCCAATCAAGATGATTCTATAATCTATGATTACAGATTGATTATGTATACTCATTATATATGATTATAATAACTATATATCGTTATGATAATATAAAATCTATGATTATCTTCTAGATTGCATTTCACACACACATGAGGAAAAATATTCAGATCATGCTCCAGAACAGCAAAGGTGTTGAAAAAGAAGACACAGTTTTCACCCAACAATGTGACAGAGACCAAATTCTACCATCAGTCTCATCAGGGTATCTCTGAAGAAACTCCAGATAGGTTTACAGTTTTATTGCAGAATTAGTAAGAACAGGAACTAGAATAAAATTTCTTCCAACTTCCTCACAATATTGTTAGTGTGCAGAGCTGTGCTTCCTCTGTAGCAGTAAGGGAGGGAGATGTGTGGAATACTAAGCTCTGGAGAACTACAAGTGGCATTGTCTCTGCTCTCCGAAAGTATGATTCAGGAACACAAACAGAATCTTACACTTGGTATAGTTGCTAACCACATAATTCTCACTCATTTATGAAGCATTTGGTTTTTTTTTTTGTCTTCAATATAATCTACCAGCCAACTTTTCAACACTTAACTTTTTGAATATTGTATACACTGGGGGATGTGTACCAAAATCCACACCTACTTGAGATACCTACACCTTGCACTGAATCTGGCCACCCCTCAGATAGATAACTTTAAATAGTAGGAACATGTTCCTGGCTCCTCAGCAGGTGCCTTAGTGACCTATTCACTCCTGGATGCAGTTCAAAGTGCAGGACTTGCAGCACGTGGCTCCAGTATAACCTGATCCGTTGCTATCTCTGAAACAGCCTGGCTTGCCTGGAATGCACTGGGGCAGCTGAAGTTACTTGGGAAGTTTGTCGTGACAGCATTTTACTTTCCAAGGAATGGATTAGTGCCCCAGTAATTGACAATTAATTATTACACGCTATCAGGGAATGTTAGGGAAAGCAAGGATGATGCCATTTATTTGATTTATTTCTCTCTATCCTGGATATTTTACTTACATTTTCAGATCAACAGAAGTGTTCTGAGGTAAGGTCACTGAAGTTTTGACTGTTTTAATTCCTGCAAGGTGGGTAGCCTAGCGTTGGCTAAGACACCAGAACTGCATTCATGTGGCTCCTCAGAAGCTGCATTTGAGAATTCCACCTAAAGTTAAAAAGATTTTTGTCCTGACCTTTAGAATGATGGGATCTTTAAATGCTCACAGCACAGGCTACTAATTCTACTGTTAACAAACATGGGGTAAGATATATGGGGACATTTCTGGCCATACTACATCACTGTACTGTAACATAGTTTCAGCATTGAATTAAACACACTTTTGCAATAACATACTTAAAGTAGTGTAAATGTTACTTTTTTTTTTTTCCTCACCATCCAACTGCTAAAACCACTTGTAATGTTTTTACCCTCAGAGGACATTAACTGATCTTAAATAGTTTCCAGACATAGGGCCTTCAAACTCTCCAGGGCTTCCCTCTTCAGAAGGCAAAAGCTCCTTTTCAGGTCTGAAGAGGAGAACGTACATTGCAACCAGACTAGAGGTTAGGAGTGTTCTTTACATGAAGGCTATGGTCTTCATCATCATTTTCAAGACCCTTCATGTTTCCTGCAGTTTCCAGTATGATTCCATGATCTTTCCCTCCATCTTCTAATCTATATTACGAAAATCATCTGCCAATGGGATTGGTTTTACATGCTCTAAACCACAGGAAGATCTGTTCAACGTTGTATTAAACTATATTTTTGCCACAGCTCAGAGAAAGTGGTGCATGAAATCTAAAAGCTCTACCGTATAGCAAAGTTCCACATTCATACTAATCTAATGTTCCCAAATGCAGTTACAAAGGATGAGGAAAGAACATCAGTTTATCATAAAGCAAAGAGCACTGTGGAATACAGACTGTGCACAGGCAACAAACACCCCCCACGTAGCTGGTACATTGAGTTGTCATGCCACTTGTAGAGAAATGTACCTAAAGGATGTGTTCCCTTCATACACAGCTTCTCTCTCTCTCTTGTGCAATCACTCCCAGCCTCCAGACACTGAACTGAAAAAAGGAACATTTCATTCACCGTGCTCCATCTACAGGTGGAATTTGTTTATCCAAAGGCATTTTATTCAACATTGTTGTAAAATGAAAATAAACCATATTCCCCAGGCAACACATTTTTTTTTTATCATGAAACTCTACCAACCTGAACTCATGCAATCATTTCGTAACAACAACAAGGAAAGAAAAATAAGATGCAGGTTCCCTGGCACAATCTGAAGTGATGTTCCACCCCCGTTTTATTGCTTGCTTGTTTGATTTTTTTGTTTTGCTTCATCTGTTTGCTTGTTTGTTTTATCCCATAAACCATGGTGCTTCTTTATTTTTCCTGTTATTCCTGTGTTTTTGGACAGTGTCTTCTACTATTCTAGCTGTCACTGAACGGACAAGTACTTAGCTTCCCATTTCCCATAATAAATGCAGCACTGCCTTCAAGAGCTGCAGACAGCAAGACAGCCTGACCATTATTTAACAGGAGAAGAAATTTATGACAGCATCAACCAGCTATCCAGAGGTGGCAGGAATTAAATCAGTGATAAAAATATATTCCAAGTTTGTCCTGAAAAGGCAGCATCACTGACTTTTGTTTCCAAGCAACATATTCCATCATAACCCCAGTCTAAGTCAGTGGGCAAAGATCAGGTCCGGAGTGAGTAATAGGTGACCTAGCAAGGAAAGTGCTGTGTGTTTCTTCCAAAGTGCTGTCTCTCACAATGACTCTATCTGGAGATTTCAAAGGAAAGGGGGCAAACCCTACTGCAGACAGCTATGAAATTAAAGAATGTCATTTCCTTCCAAAGAGTAGAAAGCATCCAAGCAAAAGAAACCTCCTCTCCAAACTTACAAACTTACAAAATTGTTGCATTTTTTGCGGGTAGGAATTAGGCTAATGGGTTGTGCACTGAGCACTGCCTGGTTCTTTACACA